CCGATTGGTTGCTGATATTGTTTTAGCGCCTGAACAAGTTTAGGAGGATTTCAACTTCCACCTACCCAGAGGGGTAACTAGATAGTTACGCCAATGATGGTAATGTAAGAGTTGCACGACCGACGACGATCGTCTTCTGGTTTGAACACTGCGGTACAACGAGGGGTCAATCGACGACGACGAAGATGGTAGAACACCGCAATTTTCGCTCTTTTATAGACCCGGTCCAATATAGTTTAAGTACCGAATCCACTGACGCGGAACAGCCCAAAACCGCACAACGAGTGTATAATAATATTATTATCACCGACCGACGGTTGTGTTTTCTTCGTCGATTGAATAACTCGCCGCAGCGGTTCGATGGGTTTCCAGTACCGCCGACTTAGGGTTTCTGGACGGGAAACTGCGCAAAGAAACACAGAAATAATAATAATATATATTTTATAAACGGTCCTATTTTTCGGACCAGTGTATACCTATGCGTTTGTTACGACCGGTTCTGACTTGGAGCTCCCGCGGACGTGCTCCGAGTTTTTCGACGGCCGACAAGCCGAAGTAGAATTATTATATCCAACAATCAAATATTTCCCGTATAATCTCACACGCTAATACCTATGTGCTGTGATCATATTTTGCACCACCCGTGGTCAGAGTGTATGGTGTAAAAAAAAGTTAAAGAAAAACCGGACGCGAGAAAATTGTTTTTTTTTCTCATCTTAAACGAGCCAATGTACAATATCGGCGTGCTACCGCAAAACTGTAGTAATATTATTATCGTCCATTGTTTTGACGGTGTAAAAAAAAATTAAGAAAAAGAAAACTGTCCAAATATTAATGTCCAAACGCATTACGGTACACCGCTACTGTATATTATAATACCTACTGCGTCGTTCATCAGAAAATCCGCGTCACAGCGTTGCGCTATAAAGTTCTTTTGCTTTAAAAGAAAATAAGAAAGTCTGTTAATGATTCATCAAAATGAGTTTTTACGTATTTACTGTGTTTGATAATTCGTGTATTTCACACGGGTGTATAATTTAAATCAATTTAATTGATTTTTCTTTTAGTTTTTTTTCCTGTTCGATTCGTCTACCAAATACGAAATCTTATAAGTATTTATATTATAAAGTTGTTTTTTAAACGCATTAAGTATCGAGCACGAATGTACAATTTCTATAAAATCACATAATATATTGTATTATTAAAAAATAAACACGATCGAGGAATATAATATTGTTATCTACACCAATAGCTTTTAAAAACAATATCAATTTTTTCGGTTTTATGGCCATCACGAATACGTTATCCAGTTGTCAATACGAGCTCAAATTTCAGTTTAAAAATAAAAAGGAACGTTATTTTTGTATGTCATTATAATAAGTTGGATGTTTATATTGTTCCTGGACATTGGAGTTATGAACTTTTCAAGTACTTGGATATTGTTTATGGAGGACGTTAACCGAGTACCACCGTCGGTGGTGGGCGACCTGCCAATATAATTACAACCTCGATTCGGGGGGATTTTAAATTACCAACGGTAAAAAAGGATTACCTATTGTTATATCAGCCATTGTATATGTATGATCCGCGTGGATACGAGACACGGGGTAAACGTGACGTGTGAAGAATTTATTCGAGATGTGTATGTTATATTAATATTGTTTTTTTTTTTTTGGCACACACGAAAATTCTTATACACCTTCACCGTGCAAATGCTGAAATTTAATTGTGGCAAAGCCACAGATGATGTGTATCTACCGTGTCCGCTGTGCACCGCTTGTACAATTCGTTTGCGGACACTGCTAATTTTCTTTCGGTACGATCGTCACGAATTCCATCCGAGACCGTCTGCGAAGACGATATTGGCCCGAAGACGTCTGCTGTTGACAAAACGAAATAAATATATAAAAAAAAAAAAAAAAATGTATATAGCAGGGTTTGTACACAGTGCTTGCTGCAGATGCCAGCCGTCGAAGGAGAAGAAGAGGTTGAATCACACGGACCATGACCACTCCCTCCGCTTTCACTGCGGCTGCGTTCCATCCGGCCGGAAGACCTACATATAGGAAAGTTTCCAGGCTAGCTAGCTCGTGTACACGCATACGTTATTATTATTAATATATTATTATTATACATACTATTAAAATGCATCATGCACTACTGTAGCGTTATTATTACTATTATTGTATACACAAAAGTCACAACATACGTATGACGAGCGTACGCTAGCGGAAAAGAATTGAAAAAAAAAAAATGAAAAATAATAACAATTTTAATAACCGCAATAATAATAGTAATAAGACATATTATATTATTATTATAATATAATCTCGACATGTGTCTTTTCCTGACAAATTGATGTCACGGATTGTTTGTTTCCTGTATTATCATCATGTTATGGTGCCGCTGTTATCTAAATGCCCAGGACGAGCTGTTCATCGAGAATAACGATTAAACGACGTTATAATAATATTGTTGAGATCATTCTAATCGTGTGTCAGATTTAAACGGCAAATTATTTGTCGGTTTCGGTTTACCATCGTGGTTAGGTTAGGTAATTACTATGGTATGGCCGCGCTTTAGCTTTTATAAGGTACACATAATTGTTGGACCGGAGCGAGGCAAATGCAATTTTACTCGGCGGATCATGTGCGCGACTCGAGCGTTTGTCTTCGGGAAATCTTTTATAATCGTCTACGCCTTGTGATATGTAAACACACAATAAAAATCTCAGGTACGCACGCCGTGACATTGTCGGAAATTCGGACGATTCGGTTCGCCAAAAAAACTCGAACGTTTATCATAACAATAATAATAATAATAATATATATATGGTAGATGGGTATATAGGATACCTACCTACTTGTATTCTTTTATCATTCGATTTTGTTTTTTTTTTTTTTACAAAAATACTTATTTCGACAATTATTTTGACTGGCAAAAAAAAAACCAAAACAATACCGACAACAAACGAGATTCTTCGGCGAACGCGTGCACGTCGTCGTCTTGAATGGATGCGCGCATAATGCTCACAATTATACATTAAAATAAAAAAAAATACCAAAAACAGTAAATAATATAGTTATAATAGCCATAGTAGAGCATGTACACGGCCTGTTAGCGAGGCAGCCGGTATGATTTTTTCCCTACTTTTTTTTTTGCCTTTCTTTCACTCGTAAACGGCGTTGCGTTGCGCGTTTTTCACTATTATATCGTTGTACTTATGTATATTTATATACATATTAATTCAACGTTGAAAACGTAAGAAGTTATACACGCTGATCCGTGGTGTTTGACCCACAAACCCGATCGTTGTGGTGTGACCGCGATGATGATACACAGTCGCAGCCAGGTTGTCGTGGTCGCCGTCACCGTCAAATCTTCCGCCACCGATTTTCCACGGCCAATTCGTTTTGGTTTTCGCCAAAAAAAAAAGAAAAAAAAAACCGAAAAGTGAAGTTACGCGCGGCTGTTTAAGATCCATTCCCGTCAGGAGACAGTCTCTGATAACACGAGATGATGTGTATATTATACATATAAATGAAGATGTACATATTGTGCATTTTCAGTATCAACTTGGTCGCCCAATCGCGGAATATCTACTTTATATTTGTCTCTATATTTTATATTTTACTTTATTGTTAGTATTACCATACGGTTATAAAAATATATGAACGTGAATAGGCCTGCTTGTGCCAGTAGTCCGGTCGCCGGGTAGCAGAATTTTTAGTTAGCATAATTTAAGTCGGTCTCTTCTCCTATAGACAGGTGTCAGGTCGCCAAATTTTCCCCAATAACGGCTACCAGCTGTTGGCCTACCATTTCGGTCACATACTACCGACTACCGGCTATAACTAAAATTATGCATAGCCAATTAGGCACGGCGACAAACGTTGGCAAATTACTGATTCATTATTGAAACAACGCATTGGCAGTTCAGTACAGAGTACCGTTATCGTCCCAAACGTATGCCAATAGTTATTAGGATTGTTATATTCATGTCTCGTAGGTCGGTATCTAAAATATCAAACTTTGTGGGCCACTTTAAAAATTTGTCAATTGGGCCGTGCTGGTTTGCTATTTTTATTGTTATTTAAATTTTTTTATTGAATGAATAATTATTTGTTTTTTAAACCGACTTACTTACTTAAGGCCCTTCTTTAAACAAAGAAATTCTGTGGGGAAAAAATCAAAATCACGATTTAAAAATGATTGGGTTGACCCGAGTACATCAGGGTTTGCCCTAAATCCGCATAAAGCACCACAGTGTGCATCAAATACAAGTAGCTACAAAGTAGTGACTCTGTAAAACATGTTACTATTTAAGATGGTGATATTACATAATCTCAAAACTTAGTCGGGGTCGTGTGATCGCAAACTAAAAGAGGTTAGGGTTAGTTGTTGCGTCCAGACGACGGAAGTCTTCGCATTCTTTAAGTTACACAATTGTAGTGTACGGTTTAAGGAGGAAGTACGGTTTGAAATGCACAGTGCACTAAGCCTATAAATATCTGGACGAGCTAGGAGCATATGAAAGATGATAAAACACCTAACTATTGAAGTGTACATTTTCTTTTCGTGGTTACGACTTAACGACGCTTGATGAGACCGGGTGATTATATTATCATAATATGTTATAAGAACATAATTTGTTGAACCCACAAGTATAGTAATAGTACAATAATTACAACCGGCGCAACTTTCGTTTAATATTATGAACGGTATTGAACTTAGGTACTCTGGTAAGTAGTACATATTATATGCTACATAATATTTTACAGTCATAGTACACACATACCGTCGGTGTGACGACGATCAGTGATGATAAATATTAGTCCTCCATCACTGGGTATTTCACTATATTATGATAATAATATATTATTATGTATACGGATATACCTACTGCATACCTTATAGCAATATTTATATGGTTGTGTTGTAGTTGTGACACATGACATCCTCTTCCGTTCTAACGTCTTGCCGCATTCCTTCTTTTGCAGTGTTGAACGTGGCCGCGGGCAAAGCGCCTATGCAAATCAGCTCCGAACCCGGTGGTTTGCCTCAGAAAGCCATCGACGGCAGCACCAGCTCTTTCTTCAGCCCTGAAACGTGCACGCTCACCAAACCGGAACGTACCCCCTGGTGGTACGTGAACCTGCTGGAGCCGTACATGGTGCAATTGGTCCGTTTGGATTTCGGCAAAGCGTGTTGCGGTAAGAATAATGATACTAATAATAATATGATAATAAATAATCGTAACATAATATTTTGATGATACACGATAAGGCACTATCTACGTTTAAGATAGTCAGGCTCGGATTAACACTATCGTAGCCCGTAGGCTCTAAAGAACTTTGTTTTTTTTTCACTTAAAAGTATCATAAACTACCATATGGTATTTATATTTTATATTCTTGTACGCATATGTAGATGATTGATGAAAAATGTAATTACATATAAAATTATTAAACTCTCGCTATACATAGTACATGTTAAACAAATTATACTCATCTACCATTTATATTTAAAACTAAAGATAGTCGATAGTTGTGTAGTAATTACTTACAATATCATTTTATAACAACAAAACATTTTTGCGATATTTTTTCTTAGCAAACGTATCAATGATCGCTTTACTATTGCCTGTGTTATCTATTTTTGTAGGCCTTAGGCACAGTGCCTATAGTGCTTAATGCGCTAACATACGGCCATAACGGTCAAATAATAAAAAGACCCAGAGGATAGCATATGTGTTTTTTTCTTCACCGATAAATTACAAAACCATTAGTAGCACAGTGTATAGATATAGTATATAATTTATAATATAGGTAGGTATACAATGTATAAATGTTTACACGTAGGAATTTTTTTTTATTCATTTCCTCGTGTCTTGTATTTTAATTAATTTCGTGTTTATCCGCGGTGCGCATTCACACGTATATTAAAATTATAATAATTAACATACCGACACTCTAATATGTAACCCGTGAGCGTATGACCTACTCTTTGCGTTGGTTATTATTATTATTCTTCCTTTGAAAATGAAACATTTCCACCTTTTTCTTGCGGTTTTACCGTTTTGATCCGTCGGATGTCTCAGACTCTCCTCTCGTTACATTATGTCGGCGAAAATCCGCCGGACGCAGGGTTATTATTAAGAAATTTGACCAACCCGGCTCGACGACGCCCTAGGGTCAAAGAAATACCGATATAATCGAATTGAGTTTTTAACGGCCAACCGGTTTTTTTTCTACGACACATATTCTATTAAATTGTTCTGCTCTTAACTCGGTAATTAATTTGTATATTATGGTGAAATTGAAAATTTCATAAAGATAATTGCTTTTGATAAGATAATTGGTTTAAAATAAACAATCAACAACATGCTGTTCGTTATAAGTGCAAACACCGGGATTCAGCTGAAAAGTGAAAATACAGGAGGGTACATCGAGGCTCTAACTGTAAAACGACAAAAAATTAAAATAATAACAGATTAATTTCTCTTATATATTATTGAAACCCAAGTCAATATTGCAACCGAATTTAACAATATTATAGTCATTTATTTAATAATAATAAAAACCCTTGCCCCCGTACCAGAAAATAAACTTAGGCACTTAAAATATTAAAATCCGATCACTGTAAAGAATTCCCTTAAAGCATGTTTTAAGCAAAATACGCACCGGCCTGGCCCCGGGATCTTTAGATAATCAGAACGTGTATCACTATAGAGAAATTATTATTGTAAAGCCATCAATTTTTACTTGTTAATATTTTGATACGTTATGTATAGGTACACCGGATCGGTTTAAACGTAATAATTATTATAGCAGACGTTTCGAGTGATAAATTCCATTAAAAATAGCACGGTTTAAATAAAAGTAATTGACATTGAGAAAGTTTGTCAAATTCCACGTTAATACAAATATAACGATCGCTTAGCGCACGCAACGCATATTATATAGTGTACATCAACCGTATAAGCAGCCTACATGAGTGGTTTCACTGGAAGAAAAAAAAAATAAGAATACGGTCAATTTATTATTGTAAGTCGATGATACTTTCGCGTTGTTTGTGTATTCATAGAAGAGCATTTTGGTAAATTAGCTGCATTGAATAAAATCCATTCATTTTTATCATTCAATATTCTATTAGCACGCGCGGAAAACGTGCACAGGAAACCGGTCAAAGAAAGTGGTACCCGCATACCTTCCGATCCGGCCACCTATATAATATTTTTATTATACCGTCGAGTATAGTGGCTACTTGCTTGTGTAAAGAGTAAAACAATGGCAATATGATAGGTCTAAGAAGAAAACGCTTTTCACACGGTACCGACGTTTCCCAAACGGCGATAAAGTGTAATAACGACTCCTGCATTAAGATATCATCTAGCTCTTTACCGCCGCCCGAACAGAATCTTATTGTTGTTGTTGTTGTCTACATAAGTACCGGTAATGCTTACAGGTAAAAACAAACCGGCCACCATAATCGTGCGAGTGGGAAACAACAGACCCGACCTGGGCACGAATCCCATATGCAACCGATTTACAGGATTTATCGACGAGGGTAAACCATTATTCTTGCCTTGTAACCCACCCATGCCCGGAGCATTTGTCAGTGTACACATGGAAACAGCCGGCACGACCACACAACTCTCTATCTGCGAAGCTTTCGTTTACACCGATCAAGTGAGTCCATATACGTACTTAACTTGTGTACAAATTAAAAAAATATATAATTTGTGTAGCCGTTGTTTTCTCGAATACCTTAACCCTAAAAAAAAATCCCTCATACTAATCGTTGGCAATATTATTTCTAGGCGTTACCTATAGAAAGATGTCCGCAATTCAGAGATCAACCACCTGGCAGTACGGCCACGTACAATGGGAAATGTTACATATTCTACAACCGCCAACCAATGAACCTGAGGGATTCTCTAACCTTCTGCAGATCTAGAGGGGGAACTTTGGTGGACGAAAGCAATCCGGCGTTACAAGGGTTTGTCAGTTGGGAATTGTGGAGAAGGCACAGGTATGTTCTATAGATTCAAGCGTGTGTTTATACTGGTATTGGGGCTTAAAAGAATCCCGTCAAGGGTAACAACAGTTCGAAATCAAAAATATTTTTGTACATTTTTATCAGGAGTGATTCGCAAAGCCAATACTGGATGGGCGCCGTCAGAGATGCTCACGACAGGAACAACTGGAAATGGCTAAACGGCGACGACCTTACAGTGTCTTTCTGGAGCGTTCCTGCCAACGGACCCGAAACGACTTCGATCAACGGAGGCGACTGCGCACGTTTCGACGGTGCCAAAGGCTGGCTGTGGTCGGACACCAATTGTAACGCGCCGCTCAATTTCATTTGCCAACACCGTTCGTATTTGTTTTGTGCCAAATAAGTTTATTTACCTCGCTTATTATTATTGAACTAACGATATCTGTATGCACGACTAATTGTTATAGAGCCTAATGCGTGTGGAAGGCCAGAACAACCGCCCAACTCCACAATGATTGCGGAAAACTTCAACGTAGGCACGGCGGTCGAGTACACGTGCGACGAGGGTCATTTATTGATCGGACCATCGACCCGCATTTGTCTGGCCACAGGATTCTACAACGAATTCCCCCCGGTGTGCAAACGTAAGTGGGCAACGATCCGCCGAGTGTCATCGCTGTACTCGTGACCAATGGTTTTTCTTTTTTTTTTCCCCCATCAGGCATTCAATGCGGTTTCCCGGCAGAAATTTCCAACGGCAGCTACAAGCTACTCAACGGCACCGTAAACTATTTGAGCCAAGTGCAATACAGTTGCGCGGAAGGTTACAAAATCAACGGCAGGGACAGACTGATTATGTGATCTGGACGAAAGATGGGACGGACCTCCTCCCAAGTGCACGGTGGAAAAATGTGCAGATCCGCCCGTTGTCCTCAACGGCGAATACATGATTTCCAACAACGACACCACGGTCGGAACGATAGTGGAATATTCGTGTGCGTCCAGACGGTTCAGACTGGTCGGATCGAAGCAGCTGACGTGCATGGCCAACGGCGAATACGATAACAAAGCGCCTTTCTGCAAAGGTTCGTATCATTCTTAACGGTGTAGACAGAGAGAGAGAGAGAGAGTTAGAACTCATGATGTACGTTGTTTTCCACAGAAGAGGTCAAATCGCCGGCTCCGCCAATTTTGGTCACTAAACCGCCGGTGGTCATATCCACGACCAGCAGCAGCAGCAGTAGCAGCAGCACTCCCAGTAGTCGAGTGCCCGCTGGCCGAGAAAAGCCACGACCTTTCACCACCAGACCTTCTACCACCATCCTGACAAAACCCGCCAACGATCATGTAAGAATTAGGACCGAGTGCTTATAGGTCTGCCATAGTATTTTCTTAACTTTGCTAATGCGTTCGCACGTTTAGGACGACAACGGTCAGACTTCGTCCAACGTTGTAATCGCCTCGGCTCATCCTCACGACAACGAAATCCCCGACAGCGTACACGTCCGGACCAATCCTAATGCTGCCAATATACCGTCTCAGGTGGAGAGCGAACACCGGATCGGCCCCAAGCTAAACCTGGGTGAGATGTCGACAACCGACGACCACCGAGACTTAAGCACTTAGCAGTTAGCGCTAATGTACAATATTATTTTCAGGAGCCATTATCGCGTTGGGAGTGTTCGGGGCTTTCGTGTTCCTGGCTGCGGTGGTCACCACGATTGTTATACTAGTGAAAAGGTAATGTCCCGTCAAAATGTATATTAGAGTGTTGGATAAAAAAAAAATATATATTATTTTTTAATTATCGACTTGCGCGCGTCCTTGTGTGTCTATGCGACTAACAACTGAACAATATATGTATAACATAGCGCTTATCGGCTGCTATATGTGGGATATTTTTGTTTTTGTTTGCAGCAATAGGAACCACAAACTTCCGTCCGGCTCGCATAACATGCCGTCCCGATGGTATACGCTTCTGGCAATGCCGTTTCCCGACCAGCAGATCGGTCGGCGTCAGTTCTCTAGGGCGTATAGAAGCCGAGCCGGCTATTTCTCTAACCCGTTATGACAATAACACCGCACACCAATAAAAATACACATACATAACAAGTGTACGATACCAAAAAAAAAAAAAAAAAATACAAAAAACCATACCCAAATGCCTATATAAGTCTAAGGTACGACTGACATGTAACGCACATCATTTTTTTTCTGATCGCACTCACTCAATCTATGTATACATATTATACCCAGAGCGTCTCACGCTGTTTTGACCGTGTTACAATGACCAGACTTATTTCGAACACGGTTTTTTTTTTATTCTTGAAAACATGTGGCAGACCACGTTGACATTACACAAGTTTGGCAAGTGTATACCGACGAACCGCGACCCGTTTAAAATGTTCATCTCGGGTCAGACGATTTTGTACCGGTTTACCGGGTCGAATCGTTTTCACAGTCTGCCGTTACAAATCTACATAGGATAGTTGCACGTACAATTAATTACCATAAGCGCAGTAACGCCAAGACCTTCCCTATATTCTTTTTCGCCGTCTTATCCCACATACACCAGAGGTCGGCCAAATAAATATTCTCTCTCGGTCACATATATATCCCGACATTCTCATTGAGACTACCTCGATTTTCTTTTTGTTTGTTTCATTCGACGCTTAAGACATTGAAGATGGCTTCACTAAAGTTTTGTACAGTTTTCCTTCGACTCCTGATGCCTCTTTCCACCCTCAAACCCTATAAAATGCCTTGTAGAGGGCTAGCTACGCCAATAAATAAATTTCTGAGTTTTACCATAAGCTCGAAGCGGATATTTTAAGATATCCCAAGTAGTATTTGCGTCAATGACGTTTTTTTTTTAACTTATCGGTTGCAGCGTGAGACACTTGTTTTTGGCACACCTTTTGCCGTCGCACCAGCTTTTGCTTTTTTCGCAAGCACACCAGCACAATTTTTTTATTTCTATTTAGAGTACACGGTGTACCTATTACACTCGTGTTTTCGACTGTCCACCGATAGCGGTTACGCGAGCCAGCGGAATTCTTTCATAGCGTGTACGAGTACGAATCATAGGCGTGTCTACACGGGTCATACATGACCTGCAAATTCAGAACATGGTGCAGGGATATAATATTTTGATTGTCTAGACGTGTGGAATAAGGCCACCGAAAATAGTCGAACTCGATACGGTTTAAAAATTTAGATTCGGTGGCCTTCTCATCGTTATAAGTCTTCTGGGGGTACCCAAGGAGGAGCAAGGGGAGGGGGATGTAAATATACACACACACACACACATGCATCGTGCATGACCCGCGATGTATGTGCCGGACACGCCTATGCGTAGAATATTGTATTGCGTTCGTATAACATGTACGATTGTTGTCGTTATTGATTGCGTGCGTGTGTGTCGCAGGAATCGCAGTGCCAAACATTTCCGCCACCGGGCGTCGCCGGACACCAACACGGTGGCCTCGTTGGACTCGTCCGGGTCGGAGAGCCGCGGTGGACTGAACCGGTACTACAGACAGGCGTGGGAGAACTTGCACCAGTCGCAGGCGGTTTCGCCCAAACACTCGAGGCAACACCACCACCACCATCACCACGGCAGCAGCCATCAGACGGCCAGGCGCAAGGAGACGATGGACCCTTCGCCGCGGATGGAGAGCATGCGCGACGGCTCCGAACTGGTCGTCAACGACGCGTACCACCCGCGCACTGCCCAGGACAAAAAGAGACACCACCACCACCATCACCATCACCAGGGGGGCCGGCCGTCCAACAGATACTGAATGTGGATCATCATCATCATCGTCATCTCTAGCGTGTAAGGCGTACGGGGGACAATAAGTATTTATATTATTGTTATTATCGGGCAAGGCGCGGGCAGACTATAAATGAGGATTTCGATGTTGCCAAAGCCACCCCCCCCCCGCCCCCGATCGTCCGTTTTACTATATTGTTATTATTGGAAATAGTACAGAGAATATTGGGGGAAAAATAAGCCAACTAAAAATTAACGCATAACCCGCGCAAGATTAATGACCACGCGTACGGAACGGGCGCCGCGCGTTTTTTTCCCTCTTCTTTCTAAAATATGTGCACTGGCCAAGTCACGTCGTCCCGCGCCGGCTCTTCTTTGACTACGTTCCCGCTTCCGTCCAAAAACTCGGTGGCGCCCCAAGTCCATACGCAAGCTCAAGTCAGGGTCAGACTACCTTAGAAAAATAAATAATAACGATAAATTAGAAATAATAATTACTCAAGGGACATATTTTGTTGTTAAAGTGCCGAATGGAGGGGCGTAGTAGGGGTGGGGTACCCGGTGTATGATGTAAAATTAATGTTTCCAAATTCTACTGCCGTAGACACTTTTACAATACATAAATATTCGGTACGTTTGCTCTTTTTTTGTAATTTTTCTCTAGACTTGTCAACGCAAACAATTATATCATTTCCACGCGTATAGTTCCTAATATTAAAACGTGACGGTCGCGCTCGCTCGCATGTGAAGTCCGAACCCACAATGATTTTCGTCAACTTCTGTTATTATTATGCTGTAAAATATGAAATTTTTATCGAAAAACAATCGTTGCGTTCTTACGACGTGTTTCTTGTGGCGTTCGTTTCGTTGTACCACCGCCAAAGAACCATTACAATAGCAATATTAAAAGCAATATATAAAAGCAAACCTATCGAACGCCGCAAGAAACAAGTGGCGGCTAATTAGTCTTCGCGGGGTGCCCGTCCATTATAATGCGTCTGTAAAAAAAATGTATTTGGGCACCCAATAGTGTTTCGCACAATAAATCGTTTTGCCCAAATGAATATCACCCGTTTAAACGCCATTATAGTATATAATAAAATATATATATATATATTTTTTACCTGAAATATTTCAATAATTGTCAATACACCAACATAACAACCAAACCACGGCCAAAAGTCTAGGTTCAGTGCTGTAGTGACTGTGAGTTTAACAGTATGGATCACCGAGGTAAAAAAAAAAATCTACTCCCGGCAATGTATCGAAATCCTCATTTTATTCTTTCGAACACACAAGTATTCACCCCCCCCTCCCCTCCCCCGTAAGCCCCGAAATTGTACTGTCAGCATTGGACATAATTTATATATTATATCGCTTTTAATGTTACCTTTTCTGACGTCGAAAATTAAGTCAATATTATTTAAGTTCAGTTATGTTTTAATATAATTAATATTGTTGCAACTGATACATATAATAGGTAGGTAGGTATTGCATAATATACAGCTGTGTAATACGCCTACAAATAATTTAGACTTTAAGTAGGTACCTATTTTTTTATAATATTCATATTTAATAACATATATTATATTTATTTTTATTTATTTATCATGCGAGAACTGTTTTGCACAACGGTTTTAAAAAAGTTATAATATATTTTACAAGAACTGTTTTTTTTTTTTTTTAATGCAGCCGACGGAATTGTATATAAATAGTTTAACATACGTACTGCCAAAGTTTATATCAATTTTATTTATTTATATTTTATATACATGGATATATATATATATATATATATATATAGAGAGGTATTAACAAAATAATAGTTGTATTTTAGATTTGTTTTGAAATTCTATGCTTATATTGAATTTTTGTAAATATATATATATATATATAAAGAAATATACAAATTACTGTTTAGCCCTAATTTTATATACCTGCTCAAGTTTACGATTAATCATATAGTACAAGCTGATTTTGAAGTCACGCAAACCTCAAATATATAATAATACATATTACAAGACCTATCTTCTGTTTAATTTTAAGCTCCTCAAGTCCTAAACTATAAAAATAAAAAACTTCCCTCTTTTATAAAGGGAGGTAGACTATTGGACAGAGGCATGTATAACTTAGATAATGCTCTATAAAAATGTCGACCTCTTCCGTCTCACCATCTCACGGAATCATTGATAATGTGTCGATTTGATCAATCGAGAACAACTTACCACGACTATAAACATTAAATACATAAATTATTATATTATTGTATACGTTCGTATATTTCAACTATTTCTACTTTAAACGATAAATACATCATAAAATGTAACAATATACCTTAACGTAAACTATAATTAATTTTGTACTACAATGTTAAAAATAACTCATTTAATAAATAAATCTCTATACTACTTTATAATTACAACATATTCATATTATTTCCAAATAAAATATTTTAAGTCATAGTATGGTATGACTTAAAATGCCCGGTTTTACAAAAAAAAGTATTGTATTCGGTATTTGACAATAAATACAATAAAAATCATAAAAAAAATATATCTATATAAGTGAACAAAATTATCACAACATATATTCGTAATAGTAGAGAAACTGAAAATAGTCAACTTATTAAAACTATTATGGTACAAATTATTGCTTTAACATACACACATGAATAATAAAAAAAAAAATTATTTAATATTCTTAAAAATTGAATAATAATAAAGTAATGCTTATGGTTAGTCAAGTCATTTTAAACGTGAAATTATTTGTTTTTGAGCTATTTTGCATATAGCATTAAAGTCAGTTTTAATATGACTTCGCCAAAAAGGTGATCGTCCCCAAACATATGCTGGAAAATTGGGACTTTCTACTCCGTGGAAAATTCTTGCCATAGCCCGTGCGGTAAATTTACAATCAATATAACTATTATACAAGCGGTTCACGTCACTCGCTACTCGAGTTTCTTCTTGTATATTTAATATCACTTCATCCTAAAACATTAGAGAATTAATAAAACATTTTAATTGAATAAGTATAAATTATTTAATTTACATGTTTTTTCTCCAATAGCATCGTCAGGTTGTCCGAAGTAAAGAAGAATCTTACATGTTTCTTCAGTTTTTCGCACAACTCGATGTCTACATCATCGCAACACTCTGAATATGAAGCCGTTGACACACTAAACACCAGAACGTACGAAATAAGATAAAAGACCGGTTGAAATTGATAAAAATTGTTGTTAGTACCTCATAAATGTTTCGAAACAGAACTGCAGCTCGGCAAGGGATTTAGCTTCTTGTTGATGAGTTCTTTGATAAAGATTACAAAGTGTAGAGTCCAACTGTTCAGCAGTCATATTACCAGGTGCAAGTACTCTGAAGCCAAGGCAAGAAAATTCAACTGACACTCCGCTTTTTTGATATTTTCCATTTTCTATGATAGTAAAAATGTTAGATTAGTGATGAGGCAAACCGTTCTAAATCTAATGATCTTAATATTAGTTTCTTTAATAATGAAGATTCAAGAATATTAATTCCACTACAGTTCCCTTAACTTAGCTTTATCGCATTAACTTACTATTTGACCATTCTAAATTTTTCAATTCTTTTTTTATTATTCCACTGTCCCACCCAATAGCGGCTGCAACTTCGAAAATAGAAAAATCAAATTGATTTAATTGACTAACAGATTTTCCACTTTTTTCTTTCAAAGCATAAGCTACAGCAAGTGGTGGACACTAAAAAACATAAATACACAATAAATATACATTAAAAATAAACAGAAATTAAACCTGGGCCTTTTTTATTTAAATAACTGATAACCAATTGTTATTTGTAAATAATGAATTATTTGAAATAATAATTTGTTATTTATAATTTCAAACATTGTTATTTAACTGTTTTGAATAACCTGTTTTAAAATTATTATTTCTATTTTCATTCGTCAAATGTTATTAAAATAAGTTTAAATGAAAATAAAGTTAAATTTATTGTATTATTTAATGATACTTTATAATTACATCGGTAAACACAATATTTTCTTACCGTTTTTGATAACTGCTTCAAAAACGCTGGTCCTTTATAGCTAGTTATTTTACATTGAATATACGATAATGGCAAATTTTTTACTAATTTATTTGTGTCCAATTCGAGATAACACAATAGTGTTTGAATATTTTCCTGTTTCATATCCAAACTCGACACAGTGTCTTCAACTTCGAAAGCCACTTCATGTTTTGTACACTCGTCTCCTTTACATTTACACTGAACAAAAACTCTTTCCAGGAGCTTACGAATGGCTGCACGATCTACAGAATTAGCGTATATATGTCGACTCAACTCGGCTATATCATTTCCCTACAGCAAAAACATATTTTTTCTATAGATTTATGTTTATTTCGTTATGATGGTCCACGAGAATAATCAATATGTAATTCCAATTATTTATTTGGATGTACAAAATACATGCAGCATTATTAAATTTACCTCAGATTCCAAAAACATATGGCAATGAGCAACATTTCCATCACGGCCAGCTCTCCCGATTTCTTGTACATAGCTTTCCAAGCTTTTTGCCATATTATAATGTATGATGCCTTGCAAGTCGGATTTATTTATTCCCATACCAAAAGCAACGGTTGCCACCACAATTTTTAAATGACCTAAAATAACAATAATGTAAATATCATGTAAAGATATGAATCATATTGAAAATATTAAACTGCAAATACCATCCATAAATTGTTTTTGTGTCCGTTTTCTTCTTGCCGCTGTCAGCCCAGCGTGATAAGGCTCGGCAATTTGAGACAATTGACCTCGTTTACCGTTATTGGTGTGTTGTGACTATGTTATAAATACAACAATTCCATTTTTTAATACTAAATACACAACAACAATTGAACAAAACAATTTATTGACTTTACCTGATAAGTGGTACGAATACAAGACGCAATGCGCTCACATTCTTCACGTCTAATGCAGTAAATAATTATTGAATTACAGTTTTTAAAGCGTTCTCCATTTAACAAACTTATCAACGCATTATCGCGGCCTTTATCCCTGGAAATACTCAACAAGAGATTATCTGGTAGAGGAGTGTCTTTAATAACAGCATCTGAACTGTCGTCTAACTTTAATTCACTAGCAATACTCGAAACCGTTGAGATGGTAGCAGTAGCCGTAAGTCCTAAAAGTGTTTTTACACCAAATTTTTCTCGTAAAACCTATAAATATAAAAATTAGTCAATAAATACAAAAGGTAAATGAATTATATATATTTTTATTTTATGTTTACTTGGCAAATCATAAGATATGAAGGCCTAAAATTATGTGACCACTGAGATAAACAGTGAGCTTCATCTAAACAAGCGAATGCTATAGGAGGGAGTTTCGACAACCATTCAGTGTTGAAACCAGAAACAATGGCCTCGGGTGAAACAAGAAGGATTGATAATTCTCCACTAGTCATTCTTTCTATAATAATATCACGTTCTTTAGGGGTTTGATTATTATGAAGACAAGCTAAATTTACAGCATTCACGCCTCCAACCTAAGGACAAAATGGGTTTTTAAAATATAGTAACAAATTATAGTTAAATCATGTAGCATTTATTTGTCTGCACCCAAAACTTACTTGATCTTCCATTAACGATATGAGAGGAGAAACTACTAAAGTGATACATTTTGTTTTTTTATGGTAAAGGTAAGCCGGTAACTGATAACACAACGATTTTCCAGTTCCCGTTGATAATGTAACTAAAGTTGAAAGACCAGAGAGAACACGCATAATCGCTTTCTCTTGACCAGGACGGAAGCTTTTATGACCAAATAGCTCGAGAGCTTTATAAACTTCATCTGGAGTATCTTAAAATTTCAATAAAAAATCACAAGAATGAATCATTTTATAGCTTTCAATAATTTAGTTAAATTATGAACACTTCAATGAAAACTTTTAAAATTCAATTTTTCTAAGATCCCTAGAAAAAAGTTTCCCCTTCCCCAAAAAAACCACTTTGTAGTTCATTAAGTCCACCCCTTAATATACATAAAGGTACCTATAATAGATTTATCTCCACGAAGATCATACACTGGATGAACAATTTCAGATCTTAAGGGGTCATCCAATGAGGGCTGAGGCTGTTCGACTGCCTGATTAAGTTCAGCCTGTAAAATTAAATATAATTTTATAATATTAAATAATTGTTACTTATAAATGTACTTAAGACATTTTTTACTTGTATTATTGACTGATTGTTCCATTTTTTACTATGAGCTTTATCTATTTTATCAACAGCTAGTTTTTTAGCTTCTTCAAGAGTAAGGAAAGGACTTTCATCCTCTTCGATATCTTCTAATGGTATTAACTCGTTACCTACAAGACATAACATCCAAGTATAAGACAAGTATAACATCCAGAATTGTACATTAATGAATACTTTGGACATAAAGTATCATATTTTATTCAACTCACTTTTAAGACAATTCTTAGAATAATGTCCTACATCGCCACATTTAAAACACTTCAATAACGATGAACGTTCCGTAGATGAGAAGTCTCCTCCTAATTCTTTCTTTCTATTTTTCCATTGTTTTTTCTTGTACGTTGTTGTTTTTATTGATCTCTTACCACGGCTATAAATTTTTCTTTTCATATCCAATCGCACAAAGTTTTCACTCGCTTTGCCGCTAGATACTTTATTTTCCAACGACATTTTTTTGTTATTGTCTTTTTTTGACAATTTAATATTTTCATTATCTTGATATTTCGTTAATTTTGATTGCGGTACTGAATCTTCTAAATCATCATCACTATTGTAGCGTTTCTTTGCGCTTCTGTTTGTAGAGTTCATATTAAGTTCTTCTTTATTACAGCTCTCACTGATTTCATGGTTCACTTCTTGAGCTTTTATTCGTTGAGATGAATACAAAGGTATATCTTGAGTTTCATTATCGCTCTCATAAATTATATCAGTATCACTTTCAGTCTCTTTTACTGGGTTGGAAGCATGTTCGACCACATTCAAGTTAGTTACTTTAGAGTTATTTTCATTACATCTTTCTAACCAACCTTCATCTATTTTTCTACCAATTGTAACTAATTTGGGAGATTGCTCCGATGTATTCAAATTTTTCTGTAACATGCTCAATGGTTGCGATATAAACGAAGAAATATTTGAAACTTTAACTGTACTATTAATTGATACATCAGAATCAACGGTAACTGCTGATAAATTAGAATCATCGTGAAAAGCACTGTCTTCTTGTACATTTGTAACTTCTTCAGTTAAAATTTGAGAGCAATTAAGTTCATTGGACTTTTTTTTTATTAAACTTTTTCTAGGATTCCTTTTTTTAAAATCACAGCCATCAAATAGCTTTTTAGAGTATTTCACTGAAACACTGTTATCAACTGGTTTAGCGACAACCTGTTTTACAGGATTAGATTTAATACTTAAATGTTCACCCCAAACAGATGATTTGTTAACTTCCGTTGACGATTCTGCAACACTTAGCTCGTTACCTGTTGATGGCTCATTCGTATTATTAAGAAACATACTTTCATCAATTGTAGCATCGTCAACATCGTCTAATCCGCCTAACAGACTCTTTTCAAGCAATGAAGTTTTGATTTTCCAATACATTTTGTAAGCATATTTAACTTTTTCGTCAGCTAATTTAATATCCTCCTGTATTAAAAATAAATAATTGAGTTTAATAAATATCTGGATAAATAAAGTTATATTTAATTAAATATACAGTAATAACATATAAATTAAAGTAAAATATTTTACCTTTCCTGGGTTTCTGCTATTGCTCTTTATAAAATTATTTTCCCATTTTTTTACAATGAATTTGTACTTGACGTACGGGTCATTTATCTCCATGGTTTAATTGTTTTAACTCATATAACTATTAAACTATTGACTAGTAAAACACAGAATAGATGATTGAAGGCAGTTGTTTTTTGGAGATTTGATTTTTGAATAACAGAAAGAATACAGTGTGACCACATCACACATATTGATAACGACAATAATATTTATCTTTACATAATTGTATCTTACAAATGTTATCTTCCGTCGAACAGATGCCTTGTAATTTATATTTTGTACCGTTTAAATTTAACCGTCAATTGTCGTAATAATTATTAGATTATTAAACATTTTTATGGAAATTATTAATATCTATCTTAAGTTTTGATATAATAATAATATAATAGTAATATATAGATTTATATGTTTGAATTAGATATTTTAAATCATGTAAGTATAGAATATCTTTCTAGTCTCGACAAAAAATTTCATTTTTCAGTTGTTTTATTACTTAACAAAAATTAGACACTTCTATTTCATTAGAGATATTAAGAAATGTCATTACCAATGGATGTAGACCCAGCAGAAGTTCAACGCCATTTGGAAGCATTAGGTTATGAAAACATTGAACCATATTTACTTCAAAATTTTATAAAAGGTACACATAAGTTTTCAATTTAACAAACATTATGTTAACACTGTTTACTAATTTTAAATTAACATCTTATTGTTTGCCTAACGAATAGATTTGAAGAAATTAATTAAGTATGAAAATAAACATAAAGACAAAGAAAATACATCATCGGTCAAAATTAATACAAATAAATATTTCAACGCAAATCAAAAACTACCAGAAAATAATTGTACAAATCCATGCTGTATAAGCAAAAATAAAAATGTATTTGAACGGTTGTCTTATCCAAATCCAAAAACAAAAACATGCCCAAAATCAGTTTTGTCTGTTGGTGTTCAAACAGAAGAAACCAGTAAAACAAATAGTAAGTTTTAATAATTAATAATGGTTTCTTTGAATACTTTAAATGCTTAGAATTATTACATTATACTTTAAATTATATTATAGCAGATCCAAAATATACAAATATTTTAAGAAAAAGACCAATGGATCCTGTAACATTGCACCAATTTTACCAATCAGAATGGCGCAACCATAAAGTACCAGGTGAAAAAAATCGCGATCAGTTAAGATGGAGAGTCAGGCAAATGATGATGCATAAATAACCTGGTTACAACTTTTCATTTATATATAATAATAATATTATATGACATTATATTTATTTATAGCAAATTTATTTTATTGATAGTTTATATTATTTATATTTACATGATACAATATGTTTTTTTTAGTTTTTTTATTTATAATATTTTAAGCAAGTACAAACAAATAAACAAATTAAGTGTAATAAAAGATGATCTTAAACAATGAAATTTCTGTATTATCTCCCATTAATTTCAGTTAATTAAAAAATATACCACCAACTAATGCATTGACCAATTTATCTAAAAATAATAATACTATTTCTCACAGTACAAATTAAATTAAAAATACATTTTCAAAAGAGTAACTCAAATTTTCTCTATCTTAGAATTATTTATAAAAACTAATTGAAGATGATTCAGAAAAAAAAAAAAAAGGTGAATCGACTCTTTGCAGGTACCACACAGTTTGAATTTTGTGACATCTTCTGTTCATAATATATTGTAACACGTAGGACTAATTCTGTCACAAACGTGATCCAACGGGTTTTTTCGAAAACGCTGGTCAAATTCGTAATCAGTAAGAGCGTAGTTAGTTTTTAGTAGTTTATTAGGAACATCAACATTTTCATTGACATCGAGAGGTCTTTTTTGAGATAATTTAACAAGTTTTTGGCGTTGTCGACGTTCTTTACATTTTTCAGCATTGGTTTTCGGTTGTTTTGATACACTATTTTCGGTAGTAACTGCATTTTTAAGTTTTTTATGCAATCGGCTTTCTCTACATTTTCAGTATTGGTTTTCGGTTGTTTTAATACATTATTTTCGTTAGAAACTGCTTTTTTGAGTTTTTTACGCAATCGGTATTCTTTACATCTTTCAGCTGCTGTTTTAGGTGCAGATTTCGGAAGTCCTCTTTTCTTTCTTTCACGATACCTCTTCCATTTATTGTGTTTAACAGATTCGGAACTTAACGTCGAAATACACGCAGATGCATTGGTCAATGAAGAGTACATTTACCCGAAGAAGAGGAAAGAGGGCAATCAGGACCGAGACAGACAGACATCATCGGAGCGCGGTCCGAACGAAATTTATAATAAAAATAAACAATAATCTCGTCCGAACACGACTAAATGAATATAATTATAAAAATAAACAATAATCTTGTTGCTTAGTTATTGCGCTACTTTAGTATCACAATTTAGTGTCGTTTACGGTCAAGGCTTTTCCACTCTCTCTCTTGAATTACTTATTATTACATAATTGATTTTAGATCAGTTGTACTTAGTTTTTTATGTATTACAATATCAATATAACTATATTTAATGTATTGATATACATATATATATATATATATTTTTTTTTAGATTATTTTATTTTTTATAGATTATTTATACATTTGTCTATAGATTAATACTACCAGTGAGACATAATTTCTTATTTCCAGCACCAGCACCTGGTTCATGGACAAGTATACTGGAGTCTGGTCTCTGGATGAAGTATAATTCCCAGCCCTTAATTTTGTTAACATACCTATATCACAGATTATATGAGTTCTAACAACTGACAAATTTTCAACTTAAAGGTCCCAAAATTATGGCTTAAAAACAAAAAAAACTTGTAACCATTCTAGGGGGTGGGAAATGGGAATAATATAAATCCGACACCAGTCCATTTTTGGTCGTTTAAAAAAAATGTTTTGCCAGAACCATTTCCATTATTCTGAAAATGCAAACTGTATACAAGACTTAGATGCTATTTTAAGTATTATGAATGAAAACAAATTTAAATATAAATATATGTTTTAATAATTTTAATTTTTTTTGGTCAGAATAATAATGTCAACCAAGAGATCACCTTGTATAAACTACAGGTGATTCATCTGATGTAAGACATTCGTTTTTTCAGAAAATTAATTCCTTTAAAACTGTTTAAAAAATGTTAGTAATTGATTATTTATTGTTCATCAATCTGTTCATTTGCTATGAAAAAATGTATAAAATATATCATAAATTAAATATAAATTAGTAAATTACAGTCAATTAAAAATTACTAAATAGCCATGAAGTGTTTCTTTTTTTAGAATTCATTCACATTCCGACATAAAATTAATTAATTCCCATTCCTCATTCCTTAAAACTAAATGTAATGCATTCATGATTGCATTCCTCTAAAAAGGAATGAAATCCAATAAATGCATTCTTTCCAACACTGATATATATATATCAGTGTGTAATAATGAAATGTCTTTGAGATAATGATTGAGTGTTGTCGACGGGGTCAAAATTATTACCGATATAACATTTATTATTTTTTTAACATTAAATATGGTAAATACACAAATTATATGAAATAATCATATAATTTGTGGTAAATACAAGTTCGATAAATTCGTTCCGGCTGACATGGTCACACTGGTTTCGGTGGAGTGCTTATCAGCTCATTTCTTGTTTCCATCGAGAGTGAACAATCTGTTTTCATATAATCTGTGGTACTGATAACAAATCGCATTTCGCGGTGAAAGTTGTAAGCGGACTGGAGCCATAGATTTTCATTGTGTTATTTTGTGTTTTGGATGGTCCACCGTTGACGTTGGAAATATGTGTTAACTCATATTTTGTTCTTGATATTTTACACTTTACCTTTAGTTACACTGAATTTTGTATGCAACCACATATTTTAACGTATACGTTTTCTTCTTTGTAATATTGTACTTTTTTCTAGTGTATTTTTCTTTACGTGTACAATGTGTGGACAATTTACAGTTTGACATTGGTCGTTATTGCATTAAAACTGCTAACTGGTTGACTGTAGTAGTTGAATTTTTGAATAACAATATGAAATAGCTATATTAATTGTAAATTTTCAAATAGCGTTTTGTGTTTCTACTTTCTTTAGTGAAAATGAATACCGTATATCTTAATGATAAGGAAAAAGAATTCCGAACACTAAACTATGGAGGTAATTATTACTGACTTTTAATTGTTAATATTTTTTATGTCAATAATTTTATTTAAATAGCTAATAATTTGTTGAGGAGTTAAAAGGGATTCAAATGGAAACGATTAGATCATTAAATTGAGACTAATAACTATCAGAAATATATTGGTTAGAACTTTTAATAGATTATTGAAACATTGAAGTGCTTCTTAAGCTCAACTGTTAATAATTACATTAGGAAGATGAGGAAATTATTACCAAATCTACTTAATCTTCAAGTATTTATGTGGCTGTAGAAGCACTTTATTATAGACTACAGTAACAATTTAGAAAGTTAATTTAAAGAGAAAAAACCCGATATCGACATTGTTATGATGTGTTGTAAAAATCTCTATAAATTATCTTTGCGTGGTTATGAAGCTTTAAAAACATAGTCAAATGAGAGAATAATCAACTTACAGCTCTCTTTTCAAAACTTGTTGCCGAGTTAAAAATAGTCTTTCGATACTCTTAGATTAGTTAGATGAGCTAAGCTTAGGCCAGTGTGAAATTATATTAATGGGTGATGGCTGTCTACAATTTTTTTAAGTAAAAAATATATATTTGGAATGAGTGCTAGAATATTTTTAAATTCTTGACCCTTTGTATTATTAACGTAAAATAAGTATTTAAAAAAAAAAACAATACTTTAATTATTATTAACAATACCTAGATAATATATTATTTTACATTATATTAACATAATTTGTTTTTTGTATATTTATTTTATTCTGTGTTATTGTTATATAGATGTTGTTAAGTGTTGGAATGATAACGTTGAATGTACAATATGCAACAACAATATAATGAAGGAAATTGTAGTAAAAAAGATGATAATGGTTCATAAGATCCATTTATTTTTGTGTTGTTACGTAAGTCATTTGATAGTACAGTTACCTAGAGGGTCTATTATCGGAGGAACGTAAATGTAACCAAACTAATAAAAAAGTGATATTTTAACATTTATGGTCAACTCTAAAATGTCAAATACTATAGTGTAGAATGATAATACTTGTTTTTCACTATTTAAAATTGTTACCCTAATTTAACAGCCTCATAAATTATGACAGAGTCTAGTATTGACATATAAGTGTTTACCACAAATGTAGTTATTACTAAATAAACAAGCATGATCACTAGATTACAAACTCTTCATATCTTTGCTCATTTGCACACTTGCCCCAGTCATGGACGATGTTGTAATAAGAAATTAGCACGGTAACACCTCTTTTTCCGAGTTAGGGAAGGAATTTTCTTGTGCAGTATTATCTAGCGATCATGCCTGTTTATTTAGTCATGAATTTAGTTTTATTGTAATTGGTTTTTAAATCTTTGATACAGTCCCTCTATTACTAGATAATTTATGTTAACTCAGTTAAAAGTGAAATTAATATTTACTGGTTTTTATTAAATTTCAGAATTGTTTCTACAAGCTATGTGAAGGAAATGAGTACAGTTGCATATTATGCTATTCAAGCCAGAATCTTTTAAATTGTTCTCCATGTGAACTTAATGTTTGCAATGTAAGTTATTTGTATTACCATTTTAGATTCAAATTTTTCAATAATGGTTAAATTATGAATTAATGTTTTAAATAAAATGGTCTATGGCTTTATTCCAGAGATGTGTTGAAAATCATAAACTAGAAAAAGTAACCAGTTGTGCTTTACGTCATTGCTTTAACTGTAAACCTAATCTGTTATGGAAAAAAAGAGCTGAAGCTGCTATTGTATTGAAAGTATTTTCTTCTCAACTGTAAGTTACTAGCTTTTGACAATAAAACCAATGAACTTATAATATACTTTTTTTTTTTTTTTTTATCAAATATCTCTTATAAAATTTATCTTTACTATCAAACATTTCTATTGATGTAAAAGTGTTAATTTTTTATTTTATCTAGATATAGTAATTTAATATTTAATTTAGGTACTTATTTTCTATAATTTAATGAAGTAGTGATAAATGAGCAGTTACAATTTTTATTTTATTCTACAATGGAATCCTTGGATTCTTTTTTAAGATATCAATTTTCTACAATTCATTCTTGTATAACAGAAAAATTATTTTAAAATTTGACTGTTGCTAAAAAATAATATGTACAAAACACTATTATTCTTATTACTTTAACTACTTATCAATAAACCTAATTGAACTAATATATCTTTAATCATTATAATAGAAATAATATTAAAATTTACAACAAAGGCAATAAGACAGTACAATATCTCAAGTGTACTCTATCCTTTATTAGAAAGGTAGTGTGCAGAAACCAAGATTTACTCTCATATTCCCCTGCGCAGCCAGAAGTGATGTGATTGGGTTTTGTTCACTACCTTTCTTATATGGGATAGAGTATGGATACTAAAATTTACAGTTATAACTTATACATATACAACACATTGTAGAAATTTGTAGATAAACTCACACTAAGGCTTTCGCGTCGGCCGCGACAACACTTTAATTGTATATTGAGTGAACTGCATTTTCACACCACACAGTAAGCTGAGTGGTAATTATTTATACAAAAATACCACCCTAAAGAAAGAGAAATAAACAAATTTAATATAGTCTGATGGTTGATTAAAAAATGTATACACATAAACTACTGGGTACTGAGATGCAATGTTTTTAACTTTTATTAACCTAAAGTGATCGCCGAGGGGGTTCCAACAGTGTTTGGCAGCTCAGTCTATTTGAGTGAAAGCAGTTCAATCTTATGTTGAATGGAGTATAGTATCAATTTATAATATTATTTTCTTTCAGAAATTTATCTCGTGGACTTATGGTGAATGAATCTGAAGATGAACAATTCGTAAGGAACTACTTAATGGAAGAAGCTAAAACTAATACAAATGAAATCAATTTTACTAAAATGAAAGATCGTATTTGCTTAGACTTTTTAAGCAGTTCGTTTAAAATGACTGTAACAGAACATATATCGGAATTCACTAGGCAGACTGACGAGAACAATACGTTTAGTAATGAGAACATAAGTCATTTTATTCGTATTTGTGAACAAATATTGGAGAATACATGTTCTACATTAACTAATCTCAAGACAATATTTCATCAGAAAACACATTTAAATCCTGTTGTATTATCCATTATTAAATCACTATTAAAATCTGAAGAAAGAACTATTAATGATAAGGTATTTGAAAACGTTGAAGTGGATGATACATTAACAAGCTCAAAATCAAATTTAAACCCAATAATAAAAAAAAGTATAGATTCTACTGATCGTGATACGAGTTCTAAGAACATTTCTGAAGAATGTTTGCCTAGTTTACCTGACTCGGGCAACATGGATTTAGATACAAATACTACTGAAGAATGTTTGCCTAGTTTAACTGAATCAGACAACATGAATTTAGATACAAATACTACTGAAGAATGTTTGCCTAGTTTAACTGAATCAGACAACATGGATTTAGATACAAATATAACTGATGAATGTTTGCCTAGTTTACCTGAATCAGACAACATGGATTTAGATACAAATATTCCTGTACAATCTGATGATGAAACAGAAGCCTTACAGAATAGAAGTATTGTCACTGTTGTTCTTAACCGATTAGACGATAGTGAAATAAAAAAATATTTAGAAAAAAAGAACTGCAACTCAAATAGTGACCATTCTGATCTCGATGAACCACTATCTCACCCATCAAGTTTTTTTGACGATGACATATTATCTGAGGATGATAATGATGAAGCAGAAAAAACAGAAGAGAAAAACCAAACAAAACTAAAATTAAATGTAAAAAGACACGTGAATACTGCATATATTTCTTTAATTTAGCCTTTTGTTAAATACCGAATAGTGTTGTAATTAATAAAGCATATTTTAGGACCAGAAAATAATATCAAAAGTAAACCACATCTCCCGTAGATCAACAGAGGAAAAATCTGACGATGAAAAAGAAAACGATAGGTATGTTTACATTGTATCTGTAAGTAATAACAGCTTTCAAATGAGCAGTTCCATGGATGTGTGGAAATCTTCACTTGTACTTGTTAGACAGAAGACTTATGCCTTACCTAGGCTAAGTCGGGTTGTATCAAATTTATGAAAGCAACATAATTGTATGTATTTTGTATTAATCGAATACATTTATTTTCTGATTAAAAGTATATCAAAATCATTCAAGTATCACATTCTCTTTAATTAATTTTTCCCAATTCGAGCACTGCTTCTTACCACAATTATAGATATTTTCTTGTATAATAAATTAATAAATTTTTATTAGACTCGCTTGCTTAAAAAATATTGAAAAAGAAAGAAAACCAAACAAAAGCAAAGAAAATCACACAGAAAACTCTGATGAAGAAGAAAGTCTCCTTTCCAAAAATAATACAAACATTTTAAATGATAAAGAAGATGACTCTAATGAAAGAATGGATAACATAATAAACAACATTGATGAACATGAAATTGGTATATGTATATTACTATATAAGTAGTTTTTTTTTATTTTTCTTACCTTTATAGTTTCTAAATTTATATTTTATTTTAGATACTGAATCATCTTTAAGCGAAACAAATATATTAAGACCTGTACATGATATTTTTAAGGAAATGAAATGCACTACTAGTATCCCACTAATAGAACTTGAAAAAAGTGAAGATGAAAGTGGTAAAATAATTGTATACATAATTAGTTATTTTTTAATTAAAAAAAATAAATACTAACTAGTGTTAAAAACTATTCAACATTTTTCCCCAATTTTATGTTAACGTTAGTATTTTTTAAAAATATGTCACGTTAATGTATAAAATATTGCATTTAATATTTAAATATTGTACATACTACTATTTTTGTGTTTTACAACATAACTCTCCTATAACAATAAATGTTGTATTTATTATTCATTTATTTTTTATAGATGATAGTTCTATAAAAAGTGTTGTAGAATCGTTCTTAAATAAACGTGGAAAAGAGTATAATCGTAAAAAAAAAGAAAAAGAAGATACTGACAGTGATGTAAACTCTTTAGAAAGTGATAGCAACAACGTAAGTATACATAAGTATTCATCTATTTTTTTTTATTAAGGAGTCAAATTTGACAAGAAAAATATTTCCTTGCCCGACTTATGGTTATTGTGACAAATATATTTTAGCAAATTTTAAAAAAGGCCACCTGTGGGAACAAACCAACTTTTTATCATTTTCGTGTACGATTTTATACATTCTATATATATATATATATAAACTTTCTAGTCTGCCGTTCGTGCTGAACATGAATTTACAACATGAATGAACATTGTTGCCGAAATACGTATACGCAAATAGTGTGTTATTTTATTAGTTTTTAATTTAAATTTCTTTATTTTGTGTATATAATTTGTTAAATCATTGTGATACATCCTATGTATAAGAAAAAATATTATAATTTGAAAACAAATTACCAAATTTATTTAAGAAACAATGTGTTGTTACCTATATTGAATATTTATGTTTTACTAGTGATCCTAAATAATTTTTTCTTTATTATATATTAACAAACCGTAATTCAATATATGTAAAAATGTTTATAGAGTACGCGTCATTCATCAAACGACGAAGATTATTCTGATGAAGGTAAAACAAATAAACTTTCTCCATTTCACATGCCATCGTTAAGTGATAGCGATTTAAGTGATGAGAGTGTTGATATGAAAAATAATAACAGTGGAGTAAAAAGGTGCGTTTATTAAAATAATTATTAGTAATATTTTACCCAAAAACAAAATACTCGATAGCTTCCATATTTTACCTTTAGCATAAAATCTGTTGCTTTATAAATTTCTACATACTATTAATTATATTCAAAGAAGTACACTCATAGACACAAATTAACTAATTAAGAAATAATAAAACCCAAATGGGCAGAGCTTTGTACAAGCTGAGGTAGGCAACATCTTTTGCAATGTTAACATGATACCTCCAGTAAGACCTTATAGCACTGAGCCGTAAATTGTGACGTTTTTATTATTATTTCTTTTAGGTGTAATAAAAATATTTTGCTTTATAGATATTATATGAGTTATTTTAAATCACTAATTAATATACCTGTTTAAGTATGGATAGTGTGATATTTTATATTATTTATAAATTATTTCAATCCAAATTGTTATTTAATTTTACAATTTTTTTTTTTTTATTAGACATAATTCATCATCAGGTGATTCAGATTCATCGTCAAAACTATTCAAACACACGCCCAAAAAACGGCGCAATACTAGATCTGCCAAAAAATCTTCATATATTTTATCTAGTCACAGTTCTAGCAATGATAGTTCTGCAGAAAGTAGTAGTGATTCTACTAATATTGTACGCGGAAAAAAAAAGAAAAGACTGTAAGTATTAACTAATCATTTACTTCAAGTTAAATTTGTTTAAATGACTATATTTTTAGCAGAGTAATAGATTCTGAATCAACCAATGATTCTGACAGTAATAGCTCTGGAAAAAATAGCTCTTCACCTGTGAGTACAAAATTTTAGAATTTTATAAAAAAAAATGTATTTACTTATTAAACCTCGTACATATATCTTATTAAAAAAAAAACTATAATAATAATTAAAATTGTTAATTTGTCAATAACAACAACAATACATACACAAAAAAAAATTATATTAATGTGACAAGTTAACACCTATTAGACTTTTCATAAAACCAAACTGATTTTTAGAGAAAACATTTTAATTCTTAAAAAAATGTACTTCTCTATCTGTAAACCTCTTTACAAAAAGTTTGGATATTGATAATTTTGAAGAAATAGGTCAATCATTTTTTCAATGTTTTGTATCGCTTCCTTTGTGCCTAGGAATTAATATTGCTTTCTTAAAAATAAAGGTTATTGCTAAATTAAAAATTATACTTAAATGTATTGCAACTTGATAAACAGTTTCTTTTTTAAATTTAATTTTCAATGTTAGGATGATAAAAAGTAGAATAATATTTTAGGAGTTAATGAATTTTACAATATTCCTAAATTATTTTATCTGTTTTACCATACTTAAAATAACATGTACTATTATATATTTTTTTATCGCAGTTTATCATTGTATTTTTTTGATTTTATATAGCTTAAGAATGGGCGTAAAAATATACGCAGTATACTTAAAAAGACTGATCTTAGTGAACTAACTAAAAATGCTTTAAGAGAAGAAGATATGCGTAGAAAAAGAATTGAAGAAAGACAAAAATTAGTATGGAACTACTTGTTGTTATTTATCATTAGTCAACTTTTTTCTTACGTACATTTTAAATTTAGAAAAACATTTTTTTTTTAGTATAACAAAATATTCAATTTACCACTAGAAATGGAGACTTGTGAAAAATTGGTTCTAGATTTTGATCCTGTAAGTAAAAAAGAACTTGTCACAGTTCATCCTGATCTAGTAAAAATGTTGAAACACCATCAGGTATGTACATTTAATTATCGATATGTAACGAGTATATTACTCATCTCAATTTTTAATGGGTAGTGCTGATTGTCAATTGAGTAAGTTTCGAATATATCCACATCACATGTTTTATGCCGACGTTTCAGACTCTTTGCAAAGACCATCTTTAGGGCAATAGTGGTCTCGACTGTTCAAATGCTGTGACCAGTAAAAAAGCGACCAGTTATGGTCATACTGGTCACGGCATTTGAACAGTCGAGACCACTATTACCCTAAAAATGGTCTTTGCAAAGAGTCTGAAACGTCGGCATAAAACATGTGATGTGGATACATCCGAAACTTACTCAATTATTATATAAATCCACGAAAGTTTTAACACATTCATAAATACTGATTGTATTATAATACAACAGAACAAGTGCTCTCTCAAATAATACTTTACAACTTATAGATTAAAGGTGTACAATTTCTATGGGTATCTGTATTTGAGTCTTTAGAACGAGCCCAAACTACAAATGGATCTGGATGTATACTTGCTCATTGTATGGGTTTGGGTAAAACATTACAAGTAAGTTTATTTTGTGTTAAGAAAATTTTAAAAAATGTAATTAGTTTTTAGAACAGTGATATATGTATTAAATTAGGTTTGTTCGCTTCCTTTCCTTATTGTAATAAGATTATTTTATTGTGTAATATGCACCACTTCTTTTTTTAAACAATTCTTAGTATGTAGATTATATTACTAATAATTTTCTTTTTAAAATAGGTAACGAAAAACGTTGAAACATCATTTAATTGTTTAATTATGATAAGTTCAAATATGTAGTCAAAAGTAACTTTTTAAGTTTATAGATGAATTATATTATTTCAGATTATTACTTTAGTGCACACATTATTTCGTTATCCGGAAATTGGTGTTAAAACTGTATTGATTATAACTCCTCATAATACAATAGAAAATTGGTGTAGAGAATTTGAAAAATGGTTACATGATATTTCAGAGCAGACGTTTTTGGTTATAAATCTAGCTGAGTAAGTAAATCAAATTTTAAAATAGTTAAGCATGCTGGTGATTGTTTGTATAATAGAATTTGTATGAAAAAAACTTTTTTTTTAGTGCTAAAACCTATGAAGACCGACAAAAGAGGATAGAAGAATGGAAAAGTGAACATGGTGTTTTAATTACAAGTTACAGCCAGTTTAGATCGGTTATAAACTATAAACGTATTAATAAATACCCTGGTATTAAGAGCGGACTTCTAGATCCAGGACCTGACTTGGTAGTTTGTGACGAGGGTCATTTATTAAAAAATCATGAATCTTTACTATCAAAATCATTTCAAACTTTGAAAACTCTTCGAAGAATTGTATTAACTGGTACACCAATGCAAAATAATTTAAAAGAGTGTATGTATTGTTTTATAATTCCTAAGTAATGATTCTATTTCATTTTGTTAATTCTATCATTTTTAAAAATTTTAGATTATTGTATGGTGCAATTCGTAATGCCTCATTTGTTAGGTACAGTTAAAGAATTTACCAATCGTTTTATAAACCCAATTAAAAATGGTCAATATTCCGATTCTACTAGTTATGATGTAAAAATAATGAAAAGAAAGTCGCATGTATTACATAAAGCTCTAGAAAAAGTTATTCAGGTAGAGTAAATACTTAATTTGTTGTTTTTGAAAAACGTTATCATTACGTTTATGTGTAAAATTATAACATAATATTTGTTCCTAACAAAACTCTCCGATTATCTTATCTTTTTTCAGTTTTTTCCAATTATATGTGTATACACATGGAATACATACGTTAATTTATATTAATTATTATTTATTTTTTAGAGATTTGATTACAATGTACTTACACCGTACTTGCCTCCTAAACATGAGTATGTCATATATTTAAAGCTATCAGATGTGCAAATTGAACTATATCGGAAATATTTGGCAAACTTCAGACAGCCTGAATTATTTACCAATTATACTATGCTTTATTTAGTATGGACCCATCCAAAGTTATTACAATTGTATACCAAGAGAACTGAGTTAAATGTAAAAGTATGCATTTTTATTGCAAGTTATTTTTGTTTGGAGGCTAAAATCAAGTTGTGTCCTGGTATGGTAGTTTGATACAGTGGTTTCTCTTTGCCTTCTACATCAGGTCATTTCTTTTTTTTTGACAGTTGGCTGCTCAAAGAAATAAATGACCAACGACAGAGTATTAAACTTTGACTAGTTGTAAAAGCATTGTAGAGTCAACCCCTTTGTCATACTGCTTTTAGTAAAAACGATTTTTTTTTTAAGTTATGTTATATGTTATGTTTTAGAAACAAAAAAATAAAAACTTAAATAAACTGCTACAATCAAGTTTTATTGATGATGTAATAATTAGTACTGATGTAGGAGACACAACTGAAGAGAATGAAGGTAAGTTTTATTAGATGCCTAGTTATATAATACATAAGGACGAGTGGCCAGGTGGCGCTCACTGTCACCGGGTGGACACCCGTTTGCCAGGCGAGAAATTTCCTCTTAAAAAGGAGCTACCTTCCCCTACGACGGACTGACAACCAGTCTCGAATAGCAAATTAGTTAAGAACCATCTCATGAGAGCCGCTTAAAATTACGCTTGAAGAAAATAAAAATAAAACATTATTAAAACACTACCTTCTCAATTCTGCATTGAAGCCTAAAACAAATTGTTATAAATGAATAATAGTAAACTATTTATCGTAAATTGACAGCTTAAACTTTTCTAATAATTTTATTTTGATATGCTTAGAGGATAAAGATGAAAAAGCTATGATTGCTGGACCTTCACGATCTAAGAGTTCAGATTATTTAAATTGGTGGAAGCCATTTATAAAAAAAAAAGAAATAGAAATTGTTCATCCATATGCCAAGTTTACTATGATGTTCTCAATACTAAAAGAGTGTGAAGAGATTGGTGATAAAGTGTTAGTTAATCTATACTTATTATTATGACTTAACATTGTTTTTAATATTTTTATGTCAACAGATTATTGTTTAGCCAGTCATTAAATACTCTTGATGTTATCCAAGAATTTTTGGAAAATGCTGAAGATATAGAAGACAAAGGCGCCCCTTATGGTAAATCATGGAATGAAGGTATTGATTTCTTCAGAATTGATGGTACTGTTTCTGTGAAAACTAGAGAAGACTGTTGTCAAAAATTTAATGACACCTCTAATACTAAGTAATTATAGATTTCTTAAGAATATATGTTAGAGAAAAATATAACCAATATTTTATTAAAAAAGTATATTCAGTAGAGCCTAAATTATATGTGACTAATCTAGCTTGATAAAAAAAAATGTAACTAATTCATATTTTGAGTTGCTTGAATCTCAAAAAAAAAAAAATTTTTGAAACAAAATTTATTTAAAAATGTTATAATTTTTTACACAAATTAATATTTTGTATTATGAATTTTTATTTTTTAAAACTTACAAATTTGTACGTATCACTTAAAAATTTGTAATAATTGATGCACATAATATTGACGATAAGTGATATTTTCTATATTTTAATTACTTTTGAACTTATTATATTATAGATATACACATACACAGTAAACAGTATATACTAATTACTAACTAGTAATTTACAGTTTTTAATTTTAAATTCTTGTCTCATGTACTAATTATATTGACTTACCTCTGATGAATCTTATTAATATAACCAAGATAATGATGCATTCTTTGTTTTATAAAATTAAAACTATTTGCGATGTTTTTCAATACTTGTATGTTATCACATACTAAATTCATGGTTGCCATTATTTTCAGATTGCGTCTTTTATTACTATCAACGAAGGCTTTTAACTTGGGCATCAATTTAGTTGCTGCTAATAGAGTCATAATCTTTGATGTCTCTTGGAATCCGTCATTAAATGTTCAAAGTATATTTCGTGTGTTCAGATTTGGTCAAAATAAGCCATGCTACATTTATAGACTTGTTTCAGAGGTAACTAACTTATTAAAAATTAAAAATATATTTCATATTTAATTCTATAGTTAAAAAGTAATTTAAGATAATATAATTGGAGATCTCGGCGATAGATGTAGCCAATTTTCGCAAATATTCAGGGCAACATTATAAATTTATTTTTCAATCTTTAACAGTATGATTTACTTACGTTGGAGGAGTAGTGTTAATTTAAATTATATGAGAGAATGAAAAATCCTCATGATATCTTTATCAAAGCTGATTCACGCATCCTATTTTTCTGAGTGTGTTAATTTTAATGACAGGATGGCTGACAAGAAAAATTTCCCATCTCGATTATCTATGTTATCCATGTACTCCTTTGGTTGTTTATCTCCCTATACTAATTCCACTTATTATGGAGATTAAACTAATGTTGGCATAAAAAAAAAACTGGTGGTTAGTAGTTCCGCCTACAAGACTTGTCTAGCAATTGGTACTGGAGTTTTCAGCCACCAACTGCGAGAGTTTATTTGATATCGAGAAATATTTATTTACACTTCAATAAAACAATCCTGTTCAAATGGAAAGAATGCAAAGAAACTGATTATCTTTTGCTGTGTCATTATTATCGTTATTTTTTTTAGTATATATTTAAAAAATAACATGTTTTTAGGGTACAATGGAGCATAAAATATATAACCGTCAAATATCAAAACTATCAATGGCATTCCGAGTTATTGATGAACACCAAATTGACCGCCACTTCAATGCTAGAGATCAAGAAGAACTTTACGAATTTGAACCTAAAACTAGTGAAACTAATATACCAAATTTACCAAAAGTATATATTAAATAATATTAATGTACATATATAATCATACACTCATTACATTATATCAATTTCAGGATCGTCTAATGGCTGAATTGATTCTGAAACACAAAGATATTGTTATGAATATTTTGGAGCATGATTCATTATTACAAAATAATGAGGATGAAGGATTGGATGAAAATGATCGACTAGCCGCATGGGATGAATATGAAAGAGAAAGGAAGGGTCTTAATGTGCCACCACCAATATTAAATCCAATAAATCCTTATCAAAATAATTTATATATTCAAAACCCAATTCAATTAGTCCCTCATCCTTTAGGGATACCATTGATTCCAGGTAGAAAAACATTGTTATTTTATTCTTTTAATTTAAGCAAAGTTAATTATCATTAAATACCATTAAAAATTCAAACTAAATTTTTAGTTATTGTCATAAAATAATAAATGATATTGTTTCATTTACTATAATCTATTTTTTTTTACCCCCAATTTTATATACATCTTTTAGAAGATCTTAAAAAGTTTAAGATAAATCTTACAGTCCTCATTAAAGTGACATAATAAGGGGATTCCAAAATGAATGGGAAAAAGAAAAAAAAAGAAAATTTGCTGAACCTAATATTCTTTTAAACATTCAACATTAATATATGAAGGCAATTATTCAAACATGATAAATATCATTTTAGTGATGTTTTACCATTTTTTTTTAAATTTTTTCTAAACAGTGAAGAGATAATTTTTTTAAGGTCTATAACAGAATTATTTCTTATTAAACTTTTAAACCTTCAACAAACAAACTGCTCCTATTACAGAGTTAACTATTTTAACTTAGTAACAACTACTTTAAAATGTTACGAAATTATTAACCGCAAAATTTCACTTTGACAAACTCAAAAATATATCACGAATGTTTTGTGCAACTTATATTATTTAAAATAAATATGATATTAAATCCGATTATTTAAAAAATGGTAATCGCCCCTCTTTTCCAGTTAAATTGAATGCATATCCATTGCATCACATACAATTATGTGGTTGGTAGTATAACTTGGCTTAATAAACAAGGAACAAGGATTTTGTTTAAATTTATTAAACATATTGCATGAACTTATACATTGGGAAATTTTTTTAGGTATGCCGCCTGCTCAACCTCTATATACATCACCAGAAGATGAGACTCTGTTCAACACATTACAAAATCTAGTAAGTAGCTTACCAACATATAAATCTATGACATAATTACTGTCATGGGATCTACCAGACCATATGAATTTTGATCAAACAAATATTAAATACTTAAATTAATTTAAAAGGAAAAAAAAATAGCTGTATTACCATTAATTACTGACGAACGGTCTGTCAGACCACAACATATTTGTTTCAAATTTAATTTTGATACAGTGTATTAAATTGCTTTTTCTTTAAGGGTACTTTTAAATTGTTGACTTAATATTGGTTTGGTAGTATTTTATAGTTTACATTATTTTTTTGCTTTGAAGCTGAGAAGTTATGTATTTACAATGATGTGTTTTTTTTTGTCATTGGACAAGTTAAAACTTTGCTAGTTCATCAGAAGTAATTCATTATTTTTGAACCACTCTTATTATTATAGTTGTTCTGTTTGTTTTAAGTTTTACGCTCTACTGAAAATGAATTACTATCGCCACCAATTCTGTCATAATCTAGTAGTTTAGACCAAATTATACAATCCTTGCATTCTATCAATTTCTGACTCAAAAAATAACCTATTTAGTGTTTAAAATATATTTTTAATTATTTTACACTACAAATGAATTTCTATTTCTCTCATCATTAAAATTATTTACTACAGCATAATCTTACATTTTTTATGATTTTCAAATTTTTTTAAAAAAAATTTTTTTCACATAAACTAAAAAATTCCATTTCATTATAAATATCTTGTCTTTCTTCTGCTACATATAATTATATAAATATAAGTCCATCCAATTAAGTTTGAACTAAAATAACTCCTTATTTCCCTCACAAATAAAACTTCACTTATTAATAATTACTTCTAAACATTTAATCACTCGCTGTTTTCATTTTTTTCAACATATTTATTACGTTCCTATGGCATGTCCTAGTCGATTTTTCTTTTCATTCACCTTTACTACATATTATTGTTTTGTGTGTACGCAATATTGTCGAATTTCTTATTTAAAGATGATGTAATCTTCAAACTTTTTTCAGTAACCAGTCAAATATTACTATACGCTTTCAGCTGTAAGGTGTGCGATCTCGATGCAACTAATCTAAGTTAAATATTGTTATTAGCTAAATACATTAATCAATTATAAGGTACCCTTTTTAAGAAGCGATTAAATAAAAATTGATTAATCAATGTTAGCATTAATGTTATTTAAAAATAACTGATTGTCAATATGGTAATTTTTTGTTTAAACAAAAATACTCCCATTTTTATTTATTAACAGAATACGTATGCATTTTTTTTTACATCATAGATAGACTACTGCCCATGACCAGGTCTGCTTAATTATTTTTTTAATATTTCCCCTTGCACAACAACAGAAGACTTTTTAAACAAACTAAGTAATAACCAATAATTAATAGTAATAGTTAATAATTAATAGATTATAATTGATCAAAGTATAACTAAAAACTAAGATTATATTTTTTGCAAATTATTTGTTTGTAGACAATTTTTTAATTAACAAAATATTATGCCACCCAATAGTTGTTACTAACCTTAAATAAGTATGGTCAAATACTTGTGCTTTAAACAAATTTCTTAAGCACTACACTATATTTATACCAAAGTGCTTTAAAAATATCTAATGCTTTTAAAATATAGATAATTATGCAATCATTTTATTTCAATACTAAACATTACCTAACAATTGTTTACCCTCTATAGATTTATATCAAAGTATTTTTTTATTATTTTCTATTATAATAATTTCTAATAACCTATGACCACCCCAACTGCTGGCATTTTTTCTGGTACTCAATAAATTAAATAAATTAAATTTTTCTGTTACTTCAATTGTACTATTTAATTTTGTCTCGCATCTAAGTTGCAAAATACGCTTAACTGTGTAATTTTACATTTTCATTTTATATGTTCTATAGTTCCCTCAAGCTACTTTGTTACAACTAAATGACAAGTTAAATCAAGTGAAGTCTGCGCGAAAAGCTGGATATCCATAAACATATGACAATTTTATATTTCTTATTTTTTTTTATATAATTGTAATTTTTTAATATTTAACGTGTTACTAATGCACAACTAAACTATTATTAATATATTTTTAATAGTGATTATACTTTGTAAATAATCAATCATTAAGTTTATGTCAATGCATATTGTGTATAGAATACTATTATACAAATATTTAAATTTCCATTTTTTTTTTTTTACCATCTATGACAATCAGTTGGGTTTTAACACCAAGGTCGTTAAATATTAGGTAGTTCTGTGAATTTTATAATTGTTTATTTTTAAATGTATTTACTGATCTGCTGTTATTCTAAGATAACAAACTTTGATAAAACCAGCCAACTATTAATGTTATAAATTTATTAGAAAATTGTACAATAGTGATTTTCGCTTCATTAGTTTGAATTATAAATTATTTACTCGTTTTTCTATAGAACACTACAATAGCATTTAGATTATGTCGCTCAATTAGTTCCTACCTAAATTTTATCATTTTAGCCATCTAAGTGTGATATGTTTTAATAGTAATGTATTACCACAATTCTGTTATTCAGTATAAAGTTTTAGTATTTACTTCTACTCGGAACGAATATAAAATGTATGTATTTTTAAAATATTTTCGTTATATTTTTTTTTTAGCTTCCTCGAGTTCCTCCGCAACAAATAAACCAAATGATAATTCAAAAGAAGAATACTCAACATTATTATACTATACCAAAATGATTTTTCTATTTTTTATACTTTAAAATTCTTAGTTTTAAGCCCTAACTAAGAAGTAATGAATAATAAATGATAACACTATATTATAATATTATGTTCTTCTGTCATCGAGTTGTTAATTATTTTTGTACCTGAGAACTTAACGACCGTAATACATATTAAGCCAACTCTTTGGGTGAGCAAGAAACCATTAATTGTCTACCATGCACTCTTATAGTCATAACCCTTGTGAATTGTAAAAGGAGAAATTTGACCGGATTACCAATTGTATGGTTTGACACAATTTTTGGGTTGGGAAAAAGATCCCTTATAAAGAGTTTTAAACTTCTAATATTTACAGGGATGATTCGAAAGGTCAATTCAGCCAAAAATTTAGTAAACAAATTCCAATAAACCTTAATTTAAAAAAGACGGGAATATTATTGATGGAAATAGCTAGAACAAGCTGATTTGACCAATCGAAAGAAGATTTCAATTTGTGTTCAGTGTACTTTGGAGAATGAATCCGACTTTTTAAGGAAAAATGTATTTAATTAATGTAATAACAAATTTGAATGTGTATTTAAGTATAATTTTTACTAGACGATAGAACCATTGTAAATTTGTTTCACTACAATTCTAGTTGCAATGTTGATCTCTTGGATTATCCCTGCAAGTTATGACAATTTCATCTTGACCATTAGTCTATCAGTCAAGTATGGATTGAAACAAAATATTTTGTTTCTTTTTACCGACTAATACTTTGATTCGTTACCTAGTATTTTTAGACGAACGTTTGTATTGTAATTTGGTACATATTTTATATAAAAGTCGTTTGCGATTTACTACATTCATATAGTACAAAGGTAAGAACTTATAATTATTTACAATAATATTGTCATATTTTATTATATTGTTATATTATTACATATTATGTATTTTGGACATTACACTTTATAAGCACTACCCATAATAAAATACAGTTATTTATTATAATTATCGCATTATTTTAGTGCCATCGCCTATCATTACACACATACATGCTTTTGTTATAATTAAATTGATATCGTTTAATAATATAATGCGTAATATATTCTTAATAGTTATTAATTTAACATTACTTATCTTTCCATTATTACATTCGTTATCGCAAATCGCAATGTGCAACTGATTATCATTCACTAATAAAATATATTAAATAATCAAAAGCATGCGCAGGTTTAAATTATAGTTACACTCTATTACAACCGAGCCCCATAACAACAATAATTATAGACCATTGTCAGTAGCGGTCCTAAAAAGGGTAAATGACATTTGACATCTACTTAAATTTAAAAAAAAACTTAATCGCGTTAAAATAGATCCAGTATTTGATTATTAAATAATTCGTCTTTCATTAAATAATAAAATTTGGATTCTTTCTAAAGCCAAGTATAGAGGTGCACACACCGCTAGCAAGTCGCTCTTCATATAATTTCTCGTTCATAATTATTTCCTATAATCGGCCTAATACTAAATACTAGTTGTTTTTATAATATAAAATTATGAATAGTTATTTTTAGCCATATCGGCTTTGGCGGAAGGAGAAAGGGGGTGTAGGCTGTATCCCGCTCAAAAAGGATAATAAACTTAAATATTTGTGATGTTTTTAAAAAGGCTCCTATTCAGTAAAATTGAAGCAAGGGCAAATTTTCGATTTTTTTCTGAAACGGGCTTTAGGAAATCTAATAGTTACAAAAAACAAACCAATATTATCAAATAAATACTTGTATTTATTTTTGGATCCACCGGGTTGGTGAATAAGTAAAGGTTTATGACTCAACGTGATTGAAAAATAATAATAGGCAATATTGTGTCGTTAACTCATTAGTTCTTCAAATACCAATTTTTTTTTTAAATAGGTTTAAATTTTATTTAAATATTATTTTTTATTCAAATTATTGTTTTTATTTTTATTATTGGGTACAAACTTTAATGTAATAATAAAAGTTCAGATGATTCATTGATGTGTCAGTTTTAGTAACTTTATATCAACATATTTATTATTTAGATTTAGTGTGTAGTAGAAAAATAATTTTTACTATAATAACAGAGTTAAAACATTTTCAATTATGAAAATTTAAATGAAAAAAACAATATCACAGTTGATTATGTTTTCTTTTTCCCATAAAAATGTATTTTATGTATAGAATAGATAAAAGTACCAAAAATATTACAAAGTTACGGGTTTAAATGTGTAATGATTCAGATATTTATATTATAGCGTAAAGTGGTGTAATGTGCCAACTTTATTGTTGGTTTAAATTAATATGGAACTAAAGTCTAGTTTGCTGGCACAATATATTGTTATAAATTTGTATCAAAAAAATGTACAAACAGTCAAACAATTTTAGTGATTTAACTATTCTTAAACAGTTAACAACAACAGATAATTAAATATCTATTATAATACAGGTATAGCTGTAAGAATCTCGTTATTTTATCCAACTAAATCTACACATTTTTATGAACATAAATATTTAATGAGTTATGCCTTTTTGTTTGTTCAACAGATTATACATTTATAAATTCTTATACAAAATTTTCATTCATCTAAGCCATAGTTTTAGACGCAAAGCATCGACACCATTCAAATAGTAGCAGAACAGCCGTTTGTCTCGAACAAAACCTAGATTTTCATACAATCGTAAGGCTGGTTTATTTGTGATTTCTGTTTCTAATACAACCTGAAAAAATCATAAATACACAAAAAATTAAAATTGATTTAATTAATATAAGTCATGATTAAGAAGGTGGAACAGGTTTATTTAAATTTATTACCGATTTATATTAAAGTAATATATATATCATACAATCTGTTTTAGCATTAAAGTTGGACATAACTTTTTTTTAATGTTTTGCATTCATATTTTAATAAAAAAATGACACAAAACAGTGTAACAAAAAATTAAGTACATATACAAAAAATTAAAACTTATATGCAATTTAGACCCATTTTTGTCCAACTGTAATGGTTGATCTAATAATTCAAAAAGGAATCTATCTAATAGCAAATTATAATTCCTCAGCATCTCTTATACAAAGAGAGAATAATTAATTATTTGTTAAGTTTTAAATAAATAAATATCCAATACTTTTTTGTCTAAAAAAATACTTTTACCGAATGTCTAAATCATTCAGTACATTATAACAAAAATAGGTCTTTCTTCTTATATTCTTGCTTTAGCAGTAGCGTTTCAAGCTGTGCAAATTTAGATAGTATTTAAAAATATATCCTTAATTTCTATTGAATTAAATAACTTAATTACTAATGAGTAATCATGTAATAAAGCCAGAGTAACAAATTGTTTACTTAACAGTTTTAATTTAAAACTTACTTCATCTGCACCATCATTCACCATGGCTTCAATAGCATTCAACACCAAGTTAGAACCTTGTTAAAAGAAGTAACACACTCTTTAATATTTTTAAGGTACTCAAATGTTATAATAACTATAAAAAATATATTTACCAATATGTTTCTTGCGGTAATTTTCATCGACTGCTAGCATGGCGATATAACCTCTCTTCACTTTTCGGTGTACATCTAGCTTACATACTATAGCGCCTACACACTTGTCTGTCTCTATGGCCTAAAGTAAAACATTGGTCTTTTAGTTATATGTTGCTCATTTTATGAAGGTAAAATTTACTTACCAAAAAACAAAGTTTAGGCCAGTTATGTATGAAGTATCGATAAGTGTATATAGAATAAGGCTCAGACAAATCTTTTTGTATTAATTGCATTATATCTTTCATTTGTTGTTCATTCTTGTAGCAGACATATTTTACACTATCATTTTGTTTTAAGCCTTCCGTGAAATCGCTGTTGTTTACATTGCAGGAGGAACACGATGGCTTACTATGACTAGATGATGATGATGATGATGATGGGGTTTTGTGACATGACAGATTATTTTGTGCTTCATCACAGCTGTTGTATACACCATTTTCAGCTATAGATAGGAGACTTACATCTGGAATCAAGTCTGTCTTACAGTCAACTTTCGGGTTACTAGCATGGTTAACACTAGACACCGCCTCATCTTTTGTGTCTAGTTCGCGGGATTGAAATTGTACTTCGGCCATTTAAGTAACCATTTATGTACGACATTAATAGGAGTTGTAAAAAATTCTATTCGACATATCCATGTTAAATAATTTCCCTTTGGAAAATGGGAATACACAAAACATTAAACATTTATCTGTTATCATCTCACAGTATAAAACTGATTATCATGATTGCATTTGTTAACAGTGTTCATGGAAGAATTAGTTCAACACCCGAGCACGCGCGTGATCTTGACCTCCAGTGGAAAAAATGTTTTTATCACATATATTATTATCATTGATTAAATATACTACATAATATAATATATGTATATTTAATCAATGTTATTATATTTATTATCTACAGAGTAGTAAAAATAACAATTTTTATTATAATATGTACGTATAATATTGAAATGTTAAAGGTATTTTGAATTTTAGTTTAAACATAAAACATTACTACAGCAGTTCGCCACAGTTAATGGCGTCTCCCCGTTAGAAAAATAATTAATGGTATTTCATTGCTATTTAATTGTTATGTCAAAATTATTACTATAGAGAATGAGAATATTTACCTCCCGACTTTTTTTAAAGCGAAAGCCTAAAACACATATTATTCTGCGCAAAGCACGGCCTCGGATAAATAACCGAATAACTGCAATTTCATAGAATAAATCGTAATTGGCTTACAAGTTAAATACTTGAAGTCCACAATTAAGATATAACAACATTTTAGACCATCCGGAAAACCAAAAAAATAAAACTACAAAATCTTGACTCGATGTAGTGTAATATATTTCACTTGTGCGTAAGCCGTAACGATCTTTTTCAATTCACTATTAATATAATATTTTGCTCGCTCTGTATAGTGTATGGCGTGATAAAATTCTCGGTTATCTTAGTTTTTCTTTTAAGGTTTTTATCGATTTTTAGCAGCTGCTGGCGAAAACAGTACAAACGCGGCTCATAACAATTATTATTGTCGTCTTGTCAGCAGCTACCCGGTAATCAGTAATCACGGCGCTTTTTCTAGGTTGTCCCATTTGCCCGTCGACGGTCGAGTGTCGACCCGCGACCGCCAGTGTCAGTCCATTTATCCGCGCCGCCTTGCCGTCGAGTTGTTTCTAGTGCTGTCACAGCTGCTCGCGTTTGGTTTTCGCAGTCCGATTTTCTGTTCTTAAAAACCTCTTCTCATGTAGCGATAAGTCGACGGGGATATATTTAAAAGTATTTACACTGTTTATTTGATTAACCGGAGTTGCTAATAGGAAAGTAAGTCACGTCAACAGAGAAAGTGTGCCACATGCCAAATTATAATATAATACAAATAAAAAAAATATAATAATATATTTTAATTGAACTGCTCGAATCGTGCGTTTATCTAAAATCCGTGTACACACGGGGCCCATGTAGGTATTACATAATATTTTGTAGTAATTTTTTCCACGTACGTGTTTGTTGTTGCTAGGTAGTGGGTCATGAATAATTCAATTAGTTGGGTAGGTCAAGGCGGCAGATATAATAACTGTTCACATATCCTAGTAGATTATAATAATTTTTTTTCAATTTTTTTTTTTCGTTATTATAAAATTTGTACTTTAATTAAATTTAATAGTTTTATTTTAAAGATAACCAAAGTAATATAACAAGAAATTTGGGGGTAATGATTAAAAACAATAAATTGCCTATTGTATCGTAAATAGCTTCAACAACAATGAAAGCAGTATTGCATTATAGTTGAATAACTTTTCTATTAAATTGTGTCATGGCAATAATGCAATTTTTTTTATGTATTTAAAAAAAAAAATTATAATTTGCATTTGTTGTTGTTTTAGCTTTCTTATACATTTTTTTAAAAAAATATAAAACTGCTATCGAAAGTACTAAAAACTTGAGTTTTCAAAATAGTTTGGCATCTACTTGTTATTATCAAAACAAAATAAAATTGAAACAACAATAAAATACCTAGGTAATATTTTTAGAAATTCTAATTATTCATCCCGTTATTGCATAGTTTAATTTTATACTTAATTATGATGTGATTATTAATCATATTATTAAAGCATAATTTTCCAAACAACAATCAAAATTTTAAGTGGTTTCTTAGTACCCACAAAACGTACATTATAATAATGTATGAAATTCATGTTAATTTCATGTACTGGCTTATGAAATTCTACTATATTTTACCTATTGATGATTAATGATAAAGTTTAGATAATCAATGTGTCCTATGTATTATAACAGTCAATATTAGATAAAATAAATGCCCTTGATCTGTATTTTTTTTTTACTTGGCTTTGTTCCAGGCAAATAGTACTGCATTTGAGTTTCTATTTTTAATGTCTCTATTTGTATAATATACCTATATGTTGTCGAGCAAAATTTACGGTCACCTACTGTTAGTAGAATACTTAGTCTAAATTTATTATTAAATTTCAGTATCACTACTTAATAAATAAACAAAAAATGTATTCACACATTGCTACAATAATTTTGATATTTAATTGCAAACTAAACTATTTTCAATTTCTTTTTAGAATAGCAGATTGATAGACATTTAGAATATCTGTATTATTAAAAAGTTGATAAAAGTACGTGTAATAAATAGTATTACATTTTTAGCCGTTCATGTAAATAACTATAAAGCCCCGTACATGATCAAGCCATTTGCACAACTACTGTGTTTGTGCAAACATTTTGATGGTGCACGGCTTAATTAGTTGCACAACGGTTTAACGAAATCGGTCGACACCAAAATATTTTGCACAAACACTAGCGTTTGACAAGCGGTTTGATCGTCTATGTTTGACAAACATCACACATGGAAAGACCACAGATAAAAATTTAAAACATATAAATTAAGGGTGTAGTTTTTTTATAATTAGTAATTTTTTAATTCATAATGGCGAATGATGACAAGAAAGGATTTTGGCATGAATTTATCGCTATTTATCGTGAGCTTCCCGAACGGTAAAAAGTAAAATGTGACATGTAAATAAATTCAAAAATAAAAATAAGAAGGTTGCGGCATACGAGAAACTAGTAGAGAAAATAAAAGAAATAGGCCCCAACGCTAATTAGGGATATTGTGCGTACCAAAATAAATACTCTTCATACTTCGTACCATCGAGAACTTAAAAAAGTAAAGGCCAGCGTGAAATCCGGTGCTGGATCTGACGACGTATGTGTGCCTAATCTTTGGTATTTCCCCAAGATTTTCTGAGAGACCAGGAGTCTCAATTCAAGGAACTTCCACGATAGAACCATTTCTTCATCCACTCTATCTGCTTTCTTTTCTGTTTAATTTTTTTTGTTCCGTCAAACAAGCAATAATTATTGAGGCTCAAGTTTTCTCTGTGTCGGACATCATGCGATATTCTTTGGCAGAGTCAAAACACTAACTGAAGTTTGCACAAACCGATGGAACATGTATGTACTACAGTTTGTGCAAACATGATGTTACACAAACACAGTAGTTGTGCTAATGGCTTGATCGTGTATGGGAGGCTTAAAACAAATAGCTTGTCTGCTGTGTGGACAAGCTTACATTCCAAATGTATATTTTATTCAAAAAAATTATTATTTTTATTTTCGTTTAAATTTCCCTAAAATTTCTACGTACTATTTGGGAAACCTCAACTTAAATATAGCGACAAGTCTTACTGTAACATGTGTCTCGTGTTTAGCATATAATTTACAGATTAAAATTACAAATAATAATATAATGTTACAAATAGATAGTAGGTAGTATGATAGAGGTAGTATTATAACTTTATTGATTTAGGGAAATCAATGCTTATTATTTTTTACCATGTTTTTGTAATATTTAAATTAATCTATTAATTAAATTTATCACTTAATCCAGGAACTATGCACCGAGCACAGTCAATTGTAAATCAATTGGTTCCTTGTGTACCAACAATTGTTGGTAGGCAAAAATTTGCAACATGGTTGATTGGACCAAAAACCCGAGCTCTTATAGGAGCAACTCAATCTATAACTGTGGCAGATAAAAAATACTCAACTCAAGGAAATCAAGAACAATTTCTTAATGGAACTTCGGCTTCTTACATTGAAGATATGTATAATGCTTGGTTAGCAGATCCAAAAAGTGTTAATGTCGTAAGTAAATGATATCTGTATTAAACTCTATTATTAAACAAAATTTTTTTAGTATCTGTGTATAATTGTTATTATTATTTTTTTTTAATGTTTTACTTTTTATATAACATGTAGTAAATACTAAGTTTTGTTTTATTTTTAGTCTTGGGATGCTTTTTTTAAAAACTGTGCAGCGGGAGCTCCTCCTGGTAGAGCATATCAGGCACCTCCTACACTAGCTCCTCCAGGCAGAAACGAAGTACTATTATCTAATTTACTGCCTAGTGTTCAAAATACAGCAGCTGTTGGTGGAGCATATAATGAAAAAATGATTGATGACCATTTGGCTGTACAAGCTATCATTAGATCCTATCAGGTAAAGAAAACAATTATAATGCTTATTTTGTTACTTAATTGTTTTCTATACATAATGTTAGGTTAATATCCAATATACAGCTAAATATAAATCACTAGTATAGACCATTTATGAAACTATGACATCTATTCAGATTAAGAGGGCGTGACACGGTATAACTGAACAGTTTATAGATTATTTTCATAAAAATATGTTTAATGGGTGTTATTACAGTGTAAAATATGTCTACTTGTTGTTCTACTATCTACCACTTACACGACTAGTTCTGCTGGTGTTGACTGGGTCATAGAGTGAAAGCGTGATTGTACTCTAGGTCACTTGAGCACGTGAGATTGATTATTCTTAGACAAATTAACCAGGGAGGACTAGATTTATGTATATAAACGCCAAGAGGATTATTCTATACCAGTTCGTCCCTGCTGAATAGGCATATTTTGCCCCTTTGTAATGCTGCTCTACCTACTTTAAAAAAAACATTATTTACTGCCATGGTGTCAAGTTCAAATATAGGAGAGTGTATGGAATAAGAAGTGTAAAGAAAGTTAGAAGAGCACAACTTTCTTTAAACTTGCACAAATGACACACATGTAATTCTTTATATAAGAACAATTGAATTTAATGGTTATTAATCCAATAATGATTTGAACAATTATTATTTTATATTAAATCTATGTGGATTGAATAGAATTTTCGGTATGATTAGTCAAAGCCACTTGATAGATATGACACCGGCTTTATTTTTAATCATAACATATTCTTCATTAAAAGACATATGTCACTTTTATTACTACCTATAGGTTAGGGGTCATTTTGTGTCGCAAATTGATCCTCTTGGATTTACAAATGCAGACTTGCAAAGTTCTCAAGGTAGACCTCATGAAGTCGTATTAAGACAGCATTCGATTGGTAAGATTGGGTAGAAGTTTGTGAATTTACGAAATGTCATTAACTGTTCTGGTCGTTTTAATAATTGTTGATAATTTTGTTTTGCATGTCTAAATAAAGATAACACAGTAAATGTCAAGAGTTATTTTCAAAATAACCTTTTATTGAGCTTTTTAGTTATACGACACTGGTCCTAGGACTAAGTATTTTTTTCCTCGTGCACAGCTGTAAAGTGTTTACATTGAAATATATTTTTGCACTCGTCAATCATATTAGTCCAAAGGTCATAAGTAGCAGTTAAAAAAGTATATATTTGTATTTATAAGGTTAAAAACTCATTTTAAGAGGTCTATTACTTCATATATTAAGTATAATACTTATATAAAAATATCTACTATAATATACTTATTTTAATTATTTTTTATGTATACAAAATAAAGCTCTACTTATGTCTAATATAGTATACTATAATATTATTCTCGAGAATAATTTTAATATTGTTAATATTAAATATTATTTTGGATATAGCAATTAATTATAATAACATACTAAAACAAAATTAACTATTTTGATGGTTTAACTTTTATGTAAAGATATGAACAGCATTTTTTTTTATACTTGCAAAAATTGCTTAATATATTAAACATTATGAGGTATGCTAAAATAGTTAGACCACTTTCAGTAACTTCTTTCAATGTGGCTACTTAATATTATGAACATATTAGAGCTTTCATGGATTGAACTATTAGTTCGTTTATTTTCGAATAATTTATCCATGCTGTCATTAGTTAGCTGACATCTCGAACCCGTTGCGAGGTATATTTTCATAAAAAGTAGACTTTGTTCTACTGTGGCCACTATACTGTATAGTCAGTTAACTAATAACAACATAAATAGATCCAAATATTATCAAACTAGCGTTTAATTATTATTATCATTTAATTTTTTTAAAATAATTAGATCTGATTTTATTTTAATACCGGTTTTCTTTCATTTACTATTAAATAATTGTTTATGTTTAGTCTAAAGAATAATAATTACAATTCACTCTATAAGTATTATGTTTAATTTTTTATTATTATTGTGATTTCAGCAAATTTGATATATGTATATTTTGGTTACGATGTACTTATGAATGTACGTCCAGGAACAGATTATGATTAATAAAAAAGCTATTCTATATTTTTAAGAACTGTTTAATATTTCGTGATTGTGTACTAATCTTCTTAATTTGTTTATCTCATATGCGACATTTATGATATAGATTATAGATATATATTAAAAAAAGAAAATAGTTTTTTTGGATTGATTTGAATTCTTGCTCGTAAATTATATTTCCTGATCAATTAAATTCACTGAAGTTAATATTAATTACATTCGTGTTTAATGAAAACATATTTGCTATCTAAAAATTTGTATTATTTAATAAACTGTAACTTTATCATCAAATATTACGTATTATTAATTTAGGTTATATTTTCTTTCCAACTTCATTATAGTTATGCATTGATAAACCTATATGTTTTAATGAATTACGACCTTTGACTTCATAATTCTACACATTGCATTAAAAACAAAAAACTCAGAATTGTTTGCAATAGAAATTTAATACATTAGAAGCTGATTCTGAATCTAAATAGGCAATTTGTTTTTAATAAACAGGAAATAAAACTGTGCAAACAGTAAAACACAATGAGTAATGATTATACTTTTGATAAAACAATAAACAAAATGTGATTTCAATGAGTGTATAATATATACCTTGATCACTGCATGTATTTTTTTTTTTAATCTGTATCTGGCACCTGTTTTTGAAACATGATATTTATATGAATGTATCATAAAAATAATTTTAAAACATTTGCATCTGCAATAATATTGTTTTTCTGTTAAAGGAACTGAATAGATTAAAAGGCATATACTTTAATTTTTATATATTCTGAAATACTTTTATAGTCATAGTTAAATAATAAATAATACCATTATTTTATTATATCTCATGTTATATTTAAGGGAGAATCAGCAAGAAATGCATAAGAATCTTTTAACATTTTATTTTTGCAATTCGCATTTAATTGAAATTGAGGCATAAAATAATAATCATTTAGTAATCTAATTCAGTCATTAAATATTATTAAGAAGCATTTACTCCAATTTTAGTATCGTTAATACAAATAAGTTGAATACTAGATTAATTTAAAAAATCTATATCATTGTCTTCAAGTACAAAATGTTTTTGCTATAATACCCATCATGGATGTATAAAATGTAGTCTGTTGCAAAAAAATAACTAATAATTAAGTGAAAAACATTGTCAATGTTTGGTAAAATAATTACCAGTTATAAATATTCATCACATAAATAATAGTTTTAGTTTCAGCTCGTACTTAGGACTTTGAGGCACATCATAAAATTACGATCCAAATTTCAATTCTAAAATTGAATAATATTTTTATATTTTACTTAATCATATTTAAATGTGCATATGAGCTGTATAGTAAAATGTAAATGATAATTTGAAAATTATATAAATTTATTTGTTAAACATGATTTTATAACTTAGATTTTATTGTGAGTTTTGACGTTTTACAGTTATCCAGTGTGTTTACTGACAAACATATTAATCTCATAAAACACTTATTTTATAATAATTTTGTTTTATTTTTTTCTAACATTAGTTTCTGTTTGTTTCAAATCACGTTTTTGCTTTTTTTTTTGTTTGTCGGCTGATTAGATACGAGGACATCATATTGCACGTCTTGACCCTTTAAATTTGAAAAAAGGCAACCAAGACGATAGACTCCCACAGGAGATTCTATACGGTTGTTATCCTCCTTTTGGTAAGTAGTAGAATCCTTATACTAATATTGACATTTTTTTTTTTCAAAGAAGTGTTTTTTAATAGCATTAAATATGCGTACACGAAAGAATGCTCACGCATTTTTAAAAAAATAAAATATTAATTTGCATGAATCCTTTTATCAGCGATTCATATTTAACAAAAATTGTTGTGTCATGCTCGTGTCGTTTGTCAAAGATTATTCAATGCATCATTACAAATTTTACTGTATGAAGACCACTGGAAAATATTGTATTCAGATATTACTTTCACGGTTTTGTTATTTATCGTTAAACTGGCTTAGGTATTAGCAAAATTAAAGTTCATACCAATCTTATAACGTTGAGGAAGACGAGTGACTAAGGTGGTAGTGTGTTAGCGTTCATTGTCGCTGATTCGGTCATGTGGTTGGGTTTGCTGGCTGAGAAACCGTCTAGTGGATAGAAGTTACCATCCTTCTTTTTAGCCACTAGTAAAAATGAATTTATCAAGAAACCAGCAGCGTTAGAGCTTCCAGGCCTATTAAGCTACCTAATGATTATGACTTGTAATGTTGCAAACTATAAAATTACATTTTCAAAATTCTCTTCTGAAAAAAATGTTATGCCTTCCTGGGGTCTTCATATTTGTACCTATGTATGCATTTATGAATAATCAAGCAATTTGGAAATATCTATAATTGCATTATAATTATTCAAAAAAATAATAATACTCTGTACGTTTCATTATTTATAATTGAAGTTATAAAATGTATTCCTTAAAATTTCACAACTGCTAATTAACTATTTTAATAGGTGCAAATTATTCATTTCAATTCCATTATTATCATAAAAATATATTACTTAGCTTCAATCCATAATATTTAATAAAAATGTTTGCAAATATTTACAACCATTAAAATGCCAATATATATATATATATACATATATAAACTTAAATATTTTCCATTTTGTGTTACATATCATTTATTTATAATACATAAGTTAAAAAATTAAGGAAGATTTACTTTTGCTTTATGACTTTGTGTAATTGCTTGTTGTGTTATTTTTGCTTCATGGGCTTACATAATTTAAAAGACAATAGTGTTCCTATATTATGCAAAGAAATTCAATGTTTTACGTCTAGTCAAGACTATTGTTGTTTTTAAGCCAATTATTTCGACGGTCATTACTTGTTTTCAAAGATTTATTACCTCCTTACAATTCACTGTAATTAATATATTATTGTTTTGTACAGTTTTAAACATGACGTTTGTCCTAATTTCATATTAGTTAAAATATATGAGGTTTGTTTGACATATGTAATTGATTACATTTCTCTGAATATTTCTATAAAAGAAACATCAATTTATATTCGACCATTAAAAGTTAGTGTAATTAATATAAAATTGTTTATTAATTTCATAGATACATTTGAATGTACTGTCGCTACGTATTGTGAAAACAACCTGCATTTTTTAATATTCAAAGGTCAATTCAAATATTAGATAAAATACTAATTGCAGTATTTATATTAATTGTTTTACATTTATCACTTGAAGACAAAACTAAGTGAAAATACACCAATCACTCTTTAGATAATAGTATAGTCAAATAATTATAATATAATAAGATAAAAAAAACATATTTAATAAAACTTAATTTTGGTAACTTTACAAAAAATTAATTTCCACTTTATTTGAAAGAATAAATTATTTAAACATATATTTTAGGTAATAAGATTAAGATATTATGTAGCATATAATAATTATTTAAATAATTAGTATCAATTAGTAATAATTTACATAAAAAATCTATAAAGAAAGACATTTTTAATGGACTTGTAAAACAAATTTTTAAATGCAATAAATGGTATTTATATACATAATAAGTTATTTATATGTATAGTTAAGAATCCAAGTGTAATGTAATCCACTATAATTTAAAAATTGCTAATACTCAATTAATTTCTTGAAATAAATAATTAAATGCATTTAAGAATATGTGTGATTTTTTTACAAACTTTTAACAAAAAAGTTTTGTTTTATTTAAACAAACGAGTATTTATTTTTTATTAGAAGCATTTAACACAGAATCTAGCGTACATTTTTCGTATTCAGTGTTTTTATTTGATTGTAATTTTAAGTAATTTTTTGCATTTGTCGTTTTAAATACTGCGAGTTTATTTGTAGGCAAACCACCCGATAATACTACATATTCTCAACACCTACAGAATAAAGTAGCCGAATTAATGGGTATGTAGTAAGTTTGGTAAATATTTATTTTATGCATGCTATTTATCTTTTTATTCCTTTATTATTATTATTTTGTTTTTTTTGTATGTATTTGATTGCGCATTGTGTCATGTTTGAAAAATGTAATCGTCATATACATGCATGTTAAAACAATAACAATGTTACATCATTTCAAATAAATTTTTATAAATGTATTATCGTCTTTAAATGTCATGTGCTGAATAAAAAAATGTATCCAAAAAATATAGAGGACGCCGACATGGAACGCGTGTTTAAACTTCCATCAACAACGTTTATTGGAGGTAAAGATAATGCATTGCCATTGAAAGAAATCCTTAAACGTCTGGAAAACACCTATTGTCGTTCAATTGGTGTCGAGTTTATGTTTATTAATTCGTTGGAACAATGCAATTGGATTAGACAACGGATGGAAACACCAGGCGTAATGGAAATGGATAAAGAACAAAAGCGACTTATTTTGGCCCGTCTTACTAGAGCAACAGGGTACGGTATTTAACAATAGCTAACATAAGATTATTTTGTAACAAATCTCGTTTAATTTTGGAAAATACTTTTTTAGTTTTGAATCGTTTTTGGCTCGTAAATGGTCCAGTGAAAAACGTTTTGGTTTGGAAGGCTGTGAAATTCTGATACCAGCAATGAAACAGGTTATCGATAAGTCTACAGAGTATGGAGTCGAATCAATCATTATGGGTATGCCACATCGTGGTAGACTTAATGTGTTGGCAAATATCTGTCGTAAACCATTAAATCAAATATTCACACAGTTTGCCGCTCTTGAGGCTGAAGATGAAGTGAGTTTTAAATGTTTCTCTATACTGTGATAAAGATGTAATAATTAATGAGATTTTATAATTTTTTTCCTAATTTCCTAATTGATGAAGCTTGAGAATTAAATCGCTATTAAATGATCATTAAAATTTGGATCGTATATTAAGATAAATAGATCTAATTACCCTGACCTGTATTTCGCCTACAGAATCCAATCGATAATTATCTAACTTCGTAAAATATGTTTAATTGCTGTCGTCGTCGATTAATTAATATTTTAATATTTTGTAGGGTTCTGGAGATGTTAAATACCATTTAGGTACATATATTGAGCGTTTAAACCGTGCCACCAATAAGAATGTCCGCTTAGCTGTTGTGGCTAATCCTTCACATCTGGAAGCTGTGGATCCAGTAGTTCAAGGAAAAACCAGAGCCGAACAGTTTTACAGAGGAGACGGAGAAGGCAAAAAAGTAAAAACAAATTATGTTTATAAAATTAAATTTTTAAAAACATCCACTAAGGGGGTGGATTCAATTAAATCATTTTACTTCTTCGAATTTTATTAATATTTTAATTTGAATACTTATAATGTTTGTGTATTATTTAGGTTATGTCAATTTTACTTCATGGAGATGCAGCGTTCTGTGGCCAAGGTGTTGTATACGAAACATTCCATTTATCAGACTTACCCGATTATACAACACATGGTACAATACATATTGTTGTCAACAATCAAATTGGATTTACTACTGATCCAAGACATTCTCGATCATCGCCTTATTGTACAGGTAATATGAAAGAATTTGTTATCAACATACTATCTCTTGGCTGTAAGGTTATTTAGCATTATTTTTCAAAAATAACTGGCATCGACCTGATCTGTGGCGTGACCTGTTTTAGCAAGAAAACATGATGTATTTCCTTAGCTGATAATAAATTATATCTATACTTAGTCACCCAACAATCGTTAAAGAGTATTTTCTATTTCAGCATTAAAATAAACTGGTTGTAATTTTTTTTTTTCAAATGTTAATTGATAATTTTAATTGGTATAAAATTATAGATTTATTAACTAAACCTAGTAATTAAAAATCTTAACATGTATTATGTGTTAATTTAGATGTTGCCAGAGTGGTGAATGCTCCAATTTTCCATGTCAACTCTGACGATCCAGAAGCCGTAATGCACGTTTGCAACATCGCCGCTGAGTGGAGAAATGTTTTCCACAAAGACGTTGTCATTGATTTAGTAATTAAATTTTTTATAATACCTATAATTAATAAATTAGTTTACATAAACCACTGTGAAAAGAAATGTCTTACACTAATGTATAGTATGAAATATAATTAACGTATATCATATTATAGGTGAGTTACCGAAGATATGGCCATAATGAAATTGACGAACCCATGTTTACTCAACCAATTATGTATAAAGTCATAAAGAAAACACCGCCAGTTTTAGACAAATATGCTGAAAAATTAATTAAAGAAGAAGTGGTTACGAATGAAGAAGTTAAGGTATTTGTCCTTAACTTTTTCCTATATTTTTGTCACATTTTTACTTATTTTTTATCTCGGGACAACTTTATATAATTAGCATAATGCCCTTATTGCAAAAATATATTTATAGATGTATGTATGAAATAGTGTTCTTTTATTAAAAAATGTCTAGTTAAACTAGATATGTTTTTATATTATTATTATTATTATTTAGGATGTGTGGGATAAATATGATAAAATTTGTGAGGAAGCCTACACGACTTCTCGTCAAGAAACTACTATTAAGTACAAGGATTGGTTGGATTCACCTTGGTCTGGATTCTTTGAAGGCAAAGATCCGTTGAAAGCTTCCAAAACGGGTGTGAAAGAAGAAACATTGAATCACATTGGAAAAAGATTTTCTTCGCCGCCGCCAAATGCCGCTGAATTTGTTGTTCACAGAGGTAATTATTAGTATTAAATTTACTTTTACCGCTGTTAATTGTTAGTAGTAATACGTTTAAATACGTGGTATTATATTATCAATAAACTTTTTACAGGTATTGAAAGAATTTTGAAAGCGCGCATGCAAATGGTTGAAAACCGTACAGTTGATTGGGCTTTGGGTGAAGCAATGGCATTTGGGTCTTTATTGAAAGAAGGTATTCACGTACGGCTCAGTGGACAAGATGTCGAAAGAGGTACATTCTCTCATCGTCATCATGTACTCCATCATCAGCTGTCCGATAAATCCACATACCGTCCATTACGTCAATTGTATCCTGACCAAGCAGAGTACACTGTTTGTAATAGTTCATTGTCTGAATTCGGAGTAGTAGGTAAGCCATTTAATCGCTGGTGATTATATTTTAATTGAAAAATAATTTTTGCCTCATCTAGTTTATGAAGGATACCTGTTCAATCATAAATATTAAAACCAATTTCATATTTACATAGGTTTTGAACTTGGCTTTTCGATGACCAATCCAAATGCTTTGGTGTGTTGGGAAGCTCAGTTCGGTGATTTCAACAACACCGCACAATGCATAATTGATCAATTTATAAGCTCTGGCCAATCCAAATGGGTTAGGCAATCCGGTCTTGTGATGTTATTACCTCACGGTCTTGAAGGAATGGTAAAACCAACATTATTTGTATTGCTTTAATTCTGAACAAAATAAAGTAAACTCATATTTATTGTTTGCAGGGACCAGAACATTCTTCTGCGAGGCTGGAAAGATTTTTACAAATGTGCTCTGATGATCCCGACTACTTCCCTCCTGAAAGTGATGAATTTGCTGTTCGTCAGTTGCACGATATTAATTGGATAGTAAGTATAGTTTTTTTTAAATGAATAAAAATATCATTACATTTGGGAGAATTTTTTAAACAGTATTTCTATAAATAGCTGTAGTATAATATTAATATATTTTTTTTTTTATTAGGTGGCCAATTGTTCAACGCCAGCTAATTATTTCCATATTCTCCGTCGACAAATCGCTTTGCCTTTCCGTAAACCATTGATTTTGATGACACCCAAATCATTATTACGACACCCCGAAGCCAAATCGAGTTTTGACGAAATGAACGAAGACACTGAATTTCAGAGATTGATTCCAGAAAAAGGTGCTGCTTCTGACAATGCTTCAAATGTCAAAAGAGTAATATTCTGTTCCGGCAAAGTATACTACGACTTGACAAAAGCCAGAGAAGAACGTAATCTTGTCGACACTGTTGCCATCGCTCGAGTAGAACAAATATCTCCATTCCCATTCGATTTAATTAAGAAGGAATGTGCCAAGTACCCTAATGCAGACATTGTTTGGTCGCAAGAAGAACACAAAAATCAAGGACCGTGGCTTTACGTTCAACCCAGGTTCCATACACTATTAAACGACTCCAAAAGCGTTAGGTGAGTTACGTTTTTATTAAATACGCACGATACAAATAACTACAGTCAATGTTAAAAATTAATTAACTAACACTAACAAATAGCTGTTTAGTCATTAATAGAAACTTTTAAAATGTAATTTTGAGTGTTTTATGGAACATAAATTCTGTTAAATATTTAAATTATTGGGGGGATATCCTTTTAGGGATTAAGCATAATTCATAAAGTAATACGATAGTTTTTTTTTATCACTTCAATAACTGAAATCAATAATCTGATTTAGCTTATGTGTACTTATGAATTTGTTGGTTGTATACAATGTCTGTTTAATGTACTGTATGTTTATTAAAATATTTGGCGCTTAATACACAACAAAAAAACATCCTTGCTTAGTAGTTTAAATATTCAATTTAAAAAGAGTTATTTTTTGTTAACAAAAACAAGAGTAACTTCATCATCAAATTATAAACAAGTTTAATAAAACTTTTCATTTTTTATAATCCTTATTTAAACGCTTTTTCACAATGTTTTTAAGACTTAAATTAACTGATTAATTTCATACGTTTTAACGCTTTTATGGTAAAAAAAATGGCTTAATAGTAAAGGAAAACAATAGGATATTTTTATTTGCACAGGCTTTCCTCTAAAAGTTCTGGAGGATTTTTTTCCCGAATATTTTCATCGCAATCAAACAAAATCGAAGACGTTTCCGAAATCAGTTTAACTGAACAGAAAAATGCTACTAGAAAATTTAGGTGAGCTTTGGAAATTAGAAAGTAAACATTTTTAGGATAAAAAATTATTATACAAAATAACTAACATTCAGAAATAATTATCTAGGTTAGTTCTGTTATTAGGTATTGGACAAAAATTAATCAAATTGGCCAAATCATTTTATTATATTTAAAAATAAAGTTCTCAGTGTCTTGGAAACCCATTTTCACTTTTTATGTTTAATAAGTGCATCAGTGTATTTTTTACTTTTGCAACTCAAACTTAAATTATAGTTTTTAAATATCAGGTGTTTGTTAATAACAAGTAAAATCAGCATGGAATATAATGGAGTATGAATAGTTTCATTGTTTATCTTAATCACTTGATGCAATATTTCAAACTTGTAACTCGTATTAAACATTATGATCAATTTTAACAGTGTATTATACAATTATTAAATAAATTAGAAACTGGTATTCTTTACTAATCTAAAAAATGTAGTTTTAAAATAACAATTATTAATGTATGTACACATTTATATTATTTTCTGTGCAAATTTGCTTACTAACGTTTAATAATTGTCAACGTGTGTGATGCAGTGAGATGTCGACTGTGATACTCGTTATATCGCGTTCGATTGACACGACACTGCGAAACAGACGTCTGACTTCCCCTCGTAAAAAGCCATGCTTATATTTGGAGTAGCGTTATAAATTAATTAGTGGTGATTAATTATTCTTTTTTTTCTCTATATACTTAGTTATGCCGGAAGACCAACATCCGCTTCACCCGCGACGGGTAGTAAAATGCAACATTTAAAAGAACTCGCAGCCCTTCTTGACACATCTTTTGCCGTTTAAACGCAGACATAGAAAAATAATGAAACATCAATTTTTGAAATGTTTACACTATACTATGCCATTAAAAGAGATGTCTAGGGTTCGTAATGTAATCTCCTATTTACATGAATGTAGTAGGCTAGTTACCTTAAAATGACTCGGATATGTATTATGTATTAATTGTTGTTAATTTATTATTTACTCTGTTATTAGTTTCTAATCGTATCACATTATATCATCTTGCAGCTTGAAGTATGTCTTATCTACCTGTAAAAAGTTGTTATTGTTAAAACCTGCCACTTTCCCAATGAATTATATATTGTATATTCATAACGTTATTTTTAAAACCATATTACAATATTGTTTAGTATAAAATTTTACCTATGGTATAATACAAGTATATTTTCGTATCCTACATGTATTTATTGTTAGTTTATTAACGAAAACTATTGTACTTAGATCAATTGATCAATAAAGTCGTGTGATGTTAATAGAATTGTATTATTAGTATATACCACCGCTGATATTTGACTAACCAATGTTTATTCACTCATTTCATTTGTATGTACTTAATCATTATAATTTTTTTTCTTCAAAATAGCTTAAACTTTGATCTAATGGCACAAATACCTATTCTGTACAATCACTAATGTTAATGACTTATATGCACCAACTTTATCTTCTATTGAAACGTATGATTAAGAAGCTGTGTTTTTTGTTCAAATATATTGTATTTCACTCAATCAAAGAAATCGTTTTAACTTTACTATGGAGCTGAGAAGGTTGTGAAATAAATATAATAATCGGTTACAAAAAATGTAATGGATTTATATTATATTTACTGTTATACTATTAAATTTCCTCCGTAGGTTCATGTTTATACGACTGACTGAAACTACAAAGTCTCTTTATTACTAATAAACAGCTTTATTTTAAATATTTTCAATAAATTTTAAGATTTAGTCGTAAAGTTTGTATTAATACAGGTACAAATTAAAATTAGTTTTGGTAATTTTCTAGTCTATCATGAATATAATTTATTTTTAAGTGTCAACGACTAAACCAGCTAACATTTTGAATCAAAATCGCAAATAAAAATCTATGATTCAATACCGGAGATATAACAGACTTTTTTCATTGGTTTCAACAAATAACCATTTTTATATGAAACAAATATATATTTATTTTTCTTATCAAGTCAAAATTTTTTACAAATGGTATAATACATTATTGCAGAAATGAACACTTTCTTTCAAATGTTTAACAAAAACTTGTCATCAAAGGTGTAATCACACTTAATGATGGAAGCCACCATGTCCATGGCCTCCATGTCCCCCCTGATGTCCACCGTATCCTCCCTGATGTCCGTATCCCTGTTGTCCGTGTCCTTGATGTCCGTATCCCTGTTGTCCATATCCCTGTTGTCCATATCCCTGTTGTCCATATCCCTGTTGTCCATGTCCCTGATGTCCATACCCTTGATTACCATGACCCTGATGACCATATCCTTGACCATGTCCACCTCCATGGTGGCCTCCATGTTGTGGTTCTGGAAGACAAGATGCTTGTTGTATGACCACTAGGGCTACGATGCACAATACTAATAGCTGTAAAAAAAAAAAACGGTTAAATTTTACACGAGTATAAGATACAACATAATATTATACCTATTATAATATGTTAGACCCCATTCCTTATGATTAATATTTATAGAGATTTTTTTTGATGAAATTTCATGATATTCAATCTGAATGAAGAAAAATCTATCAACTTAATTGTTGATTATATTTTATTTACCTAATTAGACAATTTTCTCTTTCTTTTACACCGTCAATGTGATTGAAACTTGGAAAACTCGAGAGGTACCTATCACTGAAGTTTTATGTTTTATTTTAGAGGCGTGGAATTAAATAAGCCTATCCGCTGTTAAGCAAACCATATTATTTATTATAAATACTTATACAAATATAAAACATATAAATATAAATTATCAATTTTTCACACTGTTCACAATATTAGGTTTGGCGATGGATTTTACTTTTTTGAGCTTATTAGAATATGTAAATTCCAAAATTATCGTCTAGCGAAATTCTAGTATTTTAAAGTTATAATATTATATTATGTATACGTCTATAATAGGTAAATGTTAGAAAATTAGGGAAAGTTCTAAATGTAAGTTTATGTGTTGGTAAAATTATTTTTAATAGTGTTAAACTTTCACTGCACAACGTTCCATTATTATTTGGAATAATTAAAAATTTGGCGTCTACCGCGCACAACTAAAACAAACTATTATTATTTATTTATATTATTTTTTTAAGTAGTAGTACCATATAATATTTATAATCAATAGTAGTAAAAAGAGCACATATTTCAAAACAAATTTTTTTTTTCGAATCAATTAAAACAAAAATCATGCATTGAGGGGAGTAAATACTAAGTCTTTAGCCTTTATACGAATAGTGGATAGTAAAATAATGCAGTAAAGGGTTAAAAAAAAAATTAAACGAAGATTTAACTCACCGATTTGTAAGATGCCATGTTTTCGTTTGTGGTTTGTTAAGTTGTCAAAATTCAAATTGTTGTAGACAGAGCAAACGGTTATGGTAGACTGATGTCTGCAAGTGGAATCGAGTAGCTTTTATAGTGTACGATCCGACTTAATGTGCACGTCAATAATAACATTGTTGATGTCAACAATATAAAATCGTACACTTCTTTAAGGATATTACCTTCGATTTTCGATTACCAAGGTGAAAGGTCAAATAAAACGCGCACAAACCCGTCTGTGTGTGTATGTAATAATGAATTTAGTGTTTTCCCATCGTCCATTCATATTGGGAGGAACCGGTTGGCGTTATCATTAAATAACAATAATATTGTATTTTGTGATTTATAGTTTTGAAATACTACACGCGATTAATTAAAAAAAAACCATACGTCATGTATGTATAGTACGTTTATTAGTTTTCAAGACATACCGGCTAAAATACCGGCTTGTGTATAAAAATATAATCTGTAAACTTTTCACAATAACCCTTTATATCGGTAATAATCTCCCAACCGGTAAGTACCTGAATGACATCAATATTATAAATAATAATATTATAGCGTATGAGTAATGATCATTTCGGACAAAAACAACACTGATATTTTGAAAAATACCGATAGGTACACTTATTCAAACTAAACTATTTATAATCGCTTGAATTATTTTTTCCCATTTAAACCTGCAATGTTACACCACATTTCCCCATATTTTTCCTTACTTCAGAAATGTAAAAACAAATTATATCTATAAAATTTAATTTTTAAAAACGCCCACCGAGGGGTGTGGAATTTATAATTTATAGGCACATAAAACAATGTATTGTATTGCCAACATTACACAATTTTTGCTTTTAAAAGTAAAACTCTTTTTCAATTTATTATTAGGTATTAACTCAATGTTAAAAAATGTAGCCATGTTATTACATTTTTCCATTTGCTAACGTAAATATTAACTAATCCAACATTAGCCTTTATTAAAAAAAAAAAAAAATAGTGAAGTCAGAAAGGTTAGTAGTATTTTAAAAAGAGTATCCTACACAATTTTTCCAAAGTCTATTGATTTTTAAAAAGTTGTAACACGTCATATAATATTAAGATGAAAAAAGTGTAGATTCTAAGGGTGTTTTTTTTCTGTTTTGAATGGGAAGAGGTTTATTATTTTTGGCCTATTCGAAGTACCATTTCTGATCTGTAGACTTACTGCGTAAAGAAAAGATATTTTTTACTTGTGTCAAAAAAATTACCGTTTTTTCTTGGGGTGAGGGGGTGGGGGTCTAAGTATTATTACTTGTATAAGTACAAATATATATATATAATAATAATTATAAATACCAAGTTTAGTATATATTTTTATAATCAATGATGTTATATTAATTTTTTTTTTTTGCCGATATATATATTATAATTATCGTATATTTTACATAGCAGACATAGATTTTTGAATGACCATCAAATCACTATAATACAAATACATTATTTTATTGTTCTAATGTCTTTTGTCGGTATTTCCCTCAGGCTAGGTGTCTTAGAGTGTGTTATGTCTATTGTGTGTTGACGTGTTAGTCACTTGTGAGAGTTTCGGTTTTGTTGATTAAGCTGTTAAGTATACTTTTATAGGTAGTTATTATGAATATTAATAGTGTCTGTAGTCACAAGTTAAACAACCGACAACTCGGCCGAAATGCGGTAGGTATGCATTTTTTAATGGTAAGTTTTATAATTATTTGTAAAAACAATATTTAAGAGACCATCTATGTATAGGTATGTAAAAGGTATTTATGGAGTTATGCTAATAGCAGGAAAACCGAGATAGAGACAAGATTAAGACGGGTTGGCCATGTTAAATGAAGAGAGGAAACCCTCACTTTATGGACTGTTAAATGACTATTAAATGGGCTATTTATGGTATTGTTAATACTAAGATCTCGCGTTAGAAAATTAATAATTTTCTAGTCCAAAAAAAAAAAAAAATTATTAAAATTTTATAGACGCTTGTTAATAACATTTAAGTTTCAAAAACTGATAAAAGAGCAGTAACCTCATAAGCAATACCTCATTAAGAGTTACGCCATAAATACCATTAATAAGGGGTTACGAATAGGCAGTTTTTCATATAAAAACTTAAAACTATAATCCATAAATAGTAGGTATAATAATGAGGAAGATTTTTAAAAAATAATTATTTTAGATTACCACAACTCACAACTTACATTATAAACCTTTTTTTCTTTGAAAGAGCATCTCATTACAACTTTGTCAAAAATTAAGAAAGAAACTTTTTTTTAGACTCTCGAAAAACAGAGAACTTAAATTGGGTCTTATCGATGAGTTGTGATCTTTTTGTTAATGTCTATATCTTTGTTGTACGATTAATATGTTCAGAGATATGTATAGAATGCTTACATTTGTTTTTGGACGAAAAAACGACATGTAATGTGTCCTTTTAAAATGTAAATAAAGTTTGATATAATTTTGTAAAATTACATTAATCACTTCAGTTATGACCGTTGGCTTATCTTTAATTAGAATTCAGTCTAAAATTTTAATACCTTTTTAAAAAAAAAAAAAAATTTGGTAGTAATTATATTTTTTTTGTTGCAATTTCTCTAAGAATCTGTGTAAAAAAGCTCTTTTGTATTTTAACAAAAGTTCCTTCCCCAATTCAGACAATCACTTTTTAGATAATTTATTTTCATTTTGTTATCTCTTCTATAGATTGGAGTTTAGACTTCGGTCTTTGAGAATAATGTAAAAATAGCTAGTACCCATTAGTGTTTATTATCAATTTTTTAATGTGCAAAATAAATTATGATTGCATTAGGTATAGTAAAAGTAGTAGCATGACTCGATGGGTAAAACCAGTACTATATCAGCATAAGTCTAGTTTACAATTTCCCATTACTATTTGTTTGATTTGTTTAATATGTTAATGATATTAACCTCTTCTTGTTTGTAACGTCTGGGTATCTACTTTACACGGTAATATAATATATCGTTAAATTATTTAACAGGTAAAAAAAACCTTGAGCTGGGGAAAAAAAACATAACATTTATTATGTGTATTTTTCATAATATGTTGCCATTTAATACACCTTTTACGTCTATTATAATAGTAATAGCAGTATTGGATACAAAATGCATACACTTTTATATTCTTGGTTATAACTTAGGAAATAAAAGTTCAAAAAATACCTTTAAAAAAAAATATGTGGTTATTTTTTTAGTTGGATTAGTATTAGTGCGTATTATATTAATAAATTATAAAAATATTTACTTTTTGTCAACATACGAGTAAAATACTAAGTGTTTTATGAATAATCGGTTGATAATACTTAAGTAATAATATAAAAATGTTATTTTATTCGATTATCTTCGATGAGTAATCAATGTATCTATTTAATAGTCGTAACGCGAATAAAGACAATGATTTTTGTTCTCAACAAATTAAATTGTTATTTATTTATTTTAAACAAACAAAATTCAATCTAAAACGACAGGATACAATTTAATTAACAAAAACAAAAAACAGAAATTTTACTATGATCGGTATACATTAAACATTTTAGTGAAACAATAAATATATTATACAACAAATTATAATATATAATAGGTATCTACCCTTAATAATAAATAATAATGGCGATTATTATAATAATAAAAGTCAAATGAGTATATTGAATAAATATGAGCGAGTTGAATCCAGTTTAATAATATTACCTACCTATTATTATTACTATTATCAAATTTTCTGTGCATGTTGTTTTTTTGCGAATGGATTTTTGTAGAACTCGTCTTGGCCAATTTAGTGTCTTCGACGTTAACCCTGCAAAATCGATAACATTGTTTTTAACATTATTGTTATCCCAAGGGCCAAGAATAATAAATGCTAATAGTCACACGCAGCAGCAATTCGTTTTGAATTATTTAATAATTTAAAATCATATTTTGGCGGGAAATCAAATATTAATATAACAAATGTTTTAAAATGGTTATAAATTGTAACTATAATAACTATCGAAGACTTACTTAAATATTCGTATCATTAATATTCGATTTGTTGACAAGAAACGTTTTTACTAATATTTTTACGATATTACAATAATATATATTGTACCTAACAAATTGTTTTCAAATATGATAATTTTAGTAGGGAATAAGTAAGGGAATAACGTTAAGTCTATTTTGTCTTAATTATTATTACTAAAGTTTAAAGTTATAATATAGGACGTATGATGTTCTATTATTCCTTATTTACATGACAATTAATTATTTCCAACTTGTTTCTCGCAATAGACAAATTTATTCTGTAGAAATTGTATAATAGCTACTAGCTTACGGTATTGACCGAGTATACGATGTACATTTTTTTTTTGAAAGTAAATTTAATTAACTAGCTTAATACATTTTCATAAAGAACATAGTTTTAATTCTCAGGTTTAGGCCTTCGTTTATATTACTTGTAAAACGTAAAATGGCAATTTTATTTTATGTAAATTTTGTTTTTGGAATTTACAATAAACATATAAAATACCTAAATGGAAGAAAATAAAATGTATAGTGTAAATAAAACGGTAAATAATGATGTCCGCAAAACATGTTGTTTGCGTAGAAAAACAAGTATGTTTTTTTTTTTAACAAAATAAGCTGTGATAAATATTCCAAAATAGGTAATATTTAAATGAAAGGATCGCTAAATGGCTTATTAGCCGGTTGTAAAAAACAATAAAAAGAATACACAAAACACTAATTGCCAGATAAATACATAAATAATAAATAATAATATTATGTTTGTCGATTGTAACCATTGTAAAGCGTTAATAATATATTGTGTTATCAATGATATATATATATCAGCTACTAAAAATAATAAACACAACATGACTGCAGCTAATAGCGATGCAAACTAGTTTAATTAAATATATTTTTTGTTTATTACCGTGTTTATTTACATTCTGTGTATATTATTATGATGTATACATACTAGTAAAATATCGAGAAGGGAAATGTGCGCCGATTCAAGGTTATTTTTTGAAAAATCTCTAAATCATTGTTTATTTTTATTATGCCAATCCGGCGGCACCTAGTTTTAAATAATGCGAAAACAACTTAAGCCGAGTAACGCGTTTCGGAGCAAAATTATTATAATATTAATTTAAATATAATAGTAATAATAATTTGTAGATTATTTGTGATTACCGTATAAACATTATATAATATTCTGTTAATACTAATTTTCCTAGTTGTACCTACTCCTAATAATAATAATATAAATTAATAATTATTGTATAATTAAAAGTTTGTTATGAACTACCTACCACTCGTATACGACGATTTATGTTACCATGGTTATGTTATAATGTCCTTGGACGCGGTTTTGTTTGTTTCGAAAAATAACACAACCGTAATTAATATCAGCTCCGCATAAGGTTACTTTACATATTATTATACAAGGGATTATATATATATATTCTATTATAGGTGTAGCTCTTCCACCGATATTATGAAAGCCGTGCGCGGTGTATTATAATTAAAATATTATTATATAATGACGTATTGAACGTTTTGCGGAAGGCAAGGGCAAATCCACAGAATAGATTTATTCTGTGGCAAAGCTATCATGGAGTAAATAATTAAATTACAAGCACAACAAACATTATGAGTGTCAGTACATGATCAGGAAATAATCGTACTAAATATAGGTATTATAATTATATATTTAATGCACACACACACACACACAGTATTCAGTTAAAACTTGTTCAACTAAACAAACTGTCTAAACTCTTAAATTGCCATAACACTAATTATTTTGTTCCTATACACGATTTGTTAGGGCGTCTGTAAATAATTATTTTCAAGTTCACGGTATTGTCGGTTATATACATTTCTTTGGAAACATAATGATTTAAAACCGACTAAAATAATCGTTAGCAAATAATTGAAATTTAAAACATTTTTATGTTATACAATATAATAATTTTATACAAAAAAAAAAATAATAACTGAAATGTGTTCGAATAAAATTATTCCTTTTTCAATAACTTACTAAATATGTACATTATTATTAGTATAATGTAACAAGTTATATCGGAAAAAAATATCTTATAACTCAAAATGTACATGTAAACCCTTATGTGTTTGTAAAATTTAATTAGTTTTTTTAAAATCGTTGTTAAGATCAAGTAGGAATAGTTGCAGTTCGTAAACAAACAATAGGTAAATGAAACTTTTCAATAAAGTTGTCGATAATTTTGAATTGTAGTTGAAAGATTTCAATTTACATGATGTAAATTCTCAACTGAATAATGGCACTAGCATTTATTAGGGCGCATTGTATAGGCAATTTTTCACTGAATCTTAACATTAAATTATATGTATTACTTTATAAACCCCACAAAAATGGCGGACGTCGACTTCACTATTTAGCAATTATAATTAGTTTATTATAATTTACATCCGAAACAAACTACCCAAACGCCATATTATTGATTGCTGCATTTACCGTGGTGTCTGTTTGACCGGTACTCCTAGTGCTGGCCAAACGCCTTCGACGGCGCCAACTGTTGGAGACGAGCAAGGCCAGGCCGACGAAGACAACGGCCACCGCGACGGCCAACACCACCGACGGCGACGGTTTCGCGGCCGAGCGAATTCCCGACAGTTGGTCGCACAATTCTTTGTGTTCGTCGTTTTCGAACCCGGGACAGTCGATTATACCGTCGCAGACCTTGTTGTTCGGTATGCAAAACCGCTCGTCGAGCGGACACCGGAACTCGCACGAGTCGTCCCGCTGCAGCCGGGACGCTCCCGGTACGCCGTCGGCGTGCCGGGACACGTGGGCCAGTTCGGTCCACACGATTTTGAACTCGGTCTTGTGCGGGTACGAGCCGCCGGCGAATCGGATTTGCACGTGACGGCCGTCGTCGCCGTGTCCGCCGGCCGCCTTTGCGGGCGGCGGCGGTTCCAGGTCTTTGGACGTCAGCATGATCGGTTGCGTTTTGATTAGCCTGCTTACGTTGTGTCCGCAAACGGACATGAACGGACTGTCGACGGGCCTGGAAGGCAAGTACACCTCTAATCGGCCGTCGCGACAGTCTTCGGATACGAATTTTACCTGCGGGCAAAACGTCCGTTAAAGTGTGCGTTAAACAGACCTGAAAAACTAACAATATATATATATAAATAGGCCGATTTTGGTGAGAAAGTGTGCAAGTAAAATTATAAGATTTTTCAGAAGACAAAAAAAAAACTTAATGATTTATGCTAAAAAGTAAACAAAACTTACCAAAAATTATTTTTATCCTAATTTATAATATAGAATTTTTCACTTGTTAAATTACAATTATGAATAAAAAAAATTTAAACCGGTGATTAGTGATGAAAAAAACCAAAGAAAATCCATAAAAATGACTTACACCACTAATACCTTTCTCATCAAAACCATCGTTTATTACAACCGTGGTTGTTTAACATTTATTTATATTATGTTTTACATTAGACAGCTGACAGTGTACTCATATACAGCCTAATATGTACCTATCATGCATGTACAGGGCGATCCATCTGATGTAAGACACTAATTTTCTCAGAAAATATGAACGTTTTGTAGGTTATTTTTTCCTATGCTCATAGGTACATATTTTAGTATATTTTTGAATACTTTGAAAATTGTTAACATCGTCCCTTACCTAAGCAATAAGACTATCGACTTTGTTTTATTCTAATGCAAACACATAATATGTTTTAAGTCGATAAACGAGTAGTGAGAAATTAAATTTCGAAATTGTCGTTTGAATTTTTAATTTTCAATAATAGGTTAGTACGCATTGAAAAATAATTACCTTGAAGTATAGAAAACAAATAATTTTCAGTGTTCATATTTTCCAAAAAAAAAATGAGTCAATCACAGTGCTGCCAACTATGAGCAATTTTTGAATTTTTCGATTGTGTCAATTTATTTATTAGTATTGTACTGTTTTAGTATATATTTAATAGTGTGGTAGAATAATTCTCAACAAATATTTTTAGTTTACACATGATTGTGTTGTTGTTGTAACGAAATGACGAAATCTCACTAGCATGTCCTGACACATAACCTTGTGCGTTTCACTACTAAAACATTATCAATACTATTGTGTATAGGCACCCTATTACACCTCAGCGATACAGTGACCAAACATGTTTATGAAATATGACCGTCGAGCACTTTGGGATGTACGATTTATTATACTAGACGTTATACCGTTAAAATAATATAATTTTTAGTTATTTTTTGACATGGATATCGGAAAACCCGACGTTATGAAAATGTGTCACGCTCATTAAGAAACAGATAAGAGATTAGAAATAAGCACGGTCTTATATTATATGTCTTGTGTAAGACCGTGGAAATAAGGTATTAGGGATAATAGTGATAAGAGATTATTAATGGAAGTACCAAAGTACCAGGGTCCTATATATTTGTATATTAAGACATATCCATGTCTTATGTCCTTCCGTGCATCCGAGGCACTAGTATCAGACCACTGATGATACATTCGAAAATGTATAAAAACACACCGATTTATTTAATTTAATACTTTTCCATTCATAGAAAAAAATGACTGTAACGTGAAATTGAAGAAACCCTGTATAAATATGTAATTTTATCCGCGATTTCCCTGACTTAACTCCTATCCTCTCATCATATTATTATATTATGATATATTTGATACATTGTTGGCAGGCGTGGAGAGTGCCGTCCTGATGCCTATGGGCTACTCTTATTTTATGCCGGCAAGGACCCTTTCCGTCACGTTGCCAACTTTCCGACGCTAAAAGTAATAGGGCGGCTTTAGAGAATAAACAGAAAAAAACCTATATATTTTTCACATTGTGGCTCTTATGGGACGAGATAAATCATGTCGGAAAATGATCGAGAAACGGACAATGCAGGTAGCTGCTGGTGTAGGGAAATTCTCATTTTTCGTTCATTCCGGCCAAACCTTGCAGCGCACGACGTTGAATAAATGAACAGTGTAGCCACAAATCGCAGGAAAAAAAATGGTAACACCCTAGTTTTGGCATCACTGGTACCTGATCGAAGCGCAACCACAAGTCGCTCTCGTCGTGCACGCGAATCTCCCAAATGCATTCGAGATGGTTGGGCGGCTCCGCGAATCCCATGGCGTCGTACCGCGGGAACACCAGCTCGCCCTCTTTGACCGCATCGACAACGGCGGGACCGCACAAGGGCCCGTGCACGAACTCGTACCTGGCCTCGAACAGTGGCGGGTCGTACTTGAAGTAGCTGATGGCCGCGAACTCGGGGTTCAAGCTCAGCTCGACGTTCAGCGAATTGCCCTTGGACACGTACTTGATGCCGGCCCCGTTGCCGCCAGAATTGGTCGCGTTCACGTTGTCGTGCAGACACAGCTTGTTGTGCGAATTCGGCCGACCGACCGCGGCACTACGGTTTTGGCTTGCTGCCCCGTCCTCGGTGTCGTCCGGTTCCCACACCAACAACTTGTCGCGTTCGCTGTACCAGCAATTGTTGGTGTCCTTGTCCGCCGGCGGCGTCTTGTAAGGGTGGTCCTGGAAAATGGTTACCGTCAGAGTGATAAGTTTACAAGTGGCAAAATGGCAATCCCCCTTTTTGACATTTACATGTCTTAGCTCTAGCACATAACCGAAAAAAGCGTTCTTTACAAAAGCGCTACTACACGGTGATGGGGATGGGGGTGGGAATTAGGTCTGGCACATAACCGAAAAAAGCGTTCTTTACAAAAGCGTTACAAAACCGTTACAGGGGGTAGGAGATAGGGGTAGGAGATGGGGTTGGAGATAGGGGATGGGAGATAGTGGCGAAGGGATAGGGTAAGATATAGGAGATAAGAGATATGTTGTACGTTCAACGTTCAAATTAGAGCTAAATAATAAATTCAAAACAGTTTAAGGGCCCAAATTCTCTATGAATTGTTTTAAGCCAAATATTAAACACTACAATATTAGCCAGAAACTTGATGTTTTAATATACTAGCGCTTGTTACTGCTTCTTAATATACTATATCATTATTTATAACTCCACCACTACTCTAAATTTATCTCGGTACTTCAACGAGACATGTAAATGCTCTTTCGTGGTTGCAGACTCGGCTGAAAAACTTTTTTTTTCGTTATTATTTCAACCGTATAAGGCGAATCAGAAGATTGAATTGTTTTTTTAAATTTCTAATCACAAGCAGCGACGGTACGAGCAATAATGTCACATGCGCTTTCTTGGCTTTTTGCTGCAGTCAATAAACGATAAATATATTATATATATTTACGCTATTTTGGATCAATCGTTTAAAAAACGGTGCAAACCTTAAAATGAATGGATTCGATTCTGAGAACGATCCTGGCGTACAGCCGTATGTCCGTCATGAATTTGTAACGGCAGACTATTGGGTGAGATTTTGAATCCAAGTCTGTCGACGACGACCCTTGACGTTTGTAGACTAAAGTGTTGACGGGAGATCGCAGGTATCCCGATGAAGGTTTCCAGCTTACGAATTCTTCATCGCAAGCCGTGTCCGGTACGGCAGTGCCGAACTTGGTGTTGTTAAAGAAATCGTAATGTGCCCAATAGTACAACGACGATCTGCGCGGAATTGAATACACAACAACATTAGGTACCGTACAAATTAAAAAAATATAAGTTCTCAACCGTTGTTTTACCCAGAATAGCTTCCGGTCTTGCTTTCGAAACGAATGAACATCGAGTTTCCGGTGGAAATGAAGTCGTGTTTCTCCGCTGGTTTTGAAAATGTATCGCAGAACGTTTTAATGATTCTCGTGTCGTCTGGTTCCGGCGCATCATATAGGGTTAAACTTTCGCCACAATCTCCATTCCAATCGCTGGTAACAGGGCTTTCAATACTGTTCACTCGAAAGCTGAAATTGAGATTTTTTTATAATTAATAAACGCGAGAGTAGAATATTGTTACAGGCCCAAAAACAACGAGGACTTGACCTATGCTTAATTTCTACATCCGCTCCTGTTTATAATTCGTATTAATGGTAATTTTGTTTTTAAGTTAAATACTATAGTACTTTTTAACGCTTACCTAGGAAAATACACCCGCACTACTTGATTAGGAAGTCCCAGTATATGATACGTACAAGATGTATGTGGAGGATACCAATGAGCAATTGACATAAAAATACCCTCCGTATGATGCCCGCCAGTTAGGTTTTCACTCGACAGTATCCAATCACAAGATCCGTTTCTTTTTCCTGCAGTTTGTACGTGTCCCGGCATGTTGCCCACATTGAAATGGAAACCCGTGTTCAGAAGTGGTCCTTAACATATTTATTTCGACTTCGTAAATTTTATGAATTTATCGACAACTGTATAGCTGTTAACCGTGCAAGTATATGTATACATTTAAAACGAATAAACTAAATCGATAATTGATAATTAAAAACGACAGTTAACGGCCGTAAGAATGCACGAAAACGGCCTACCCGCTGAAGACGTGACGAACTCCACGAATAAATCTTCGCTTGTTCCAACAATTGAATGCGGAAATTTCCCCATTCCGCAGAACGTTCCGATTTCCGGGCTAGAAGCGTTTTTACCGTCGTATATTTTTATGTAATCGTAGGGACAATACTCGGCTCCTGGAAAACAAATTTTCGATAAACAGAAACGAATCTGTGAAAATGACAGCGATTGGGTCATTAAGTAAAATATAACGGTGTGCTCTGTTAGCCCTATGTATACCCGAAGTGATTGGTCTCATAGGACAAGTGATGATGTTTTCACACCGTTGGCCGTCCACGTTGAACTCTTCGTTTTGTATGTAAAGTTTAATGAACGGGTTTTTGGTATTTAACCAGTAGTTGCATCTCAGGTTCCTGGGGTAAACTCCTGGGTACGCTGGGCTTTGAACGTAGCACGTTTGCAGACGGCATTCCCTAAACGTTCTATCGCAGTAGGTGCTGAAAATGAACATAACGTGCAACCGGTTTTATTTCACGGTTAAACAAAAATGAGTAATGGCTGTAGCTCTCACCCAGGGTTCAGAATGCCTCTCCTGTTTGGGTACAGCTCCGGGTGTTGTCCGAATCGCAAGTACACCTGAGTCTCTTGTTCTGCCCTCGAGTCGAAGCTGTAATACGTTTGGTCGGTATAGTTGTCCGTCTGAAATATAATTTTAACGGAACTGGTTTCGGACAAAAACGTCTGAGGTTGTTCGATCTCCCCACAAAACGACCCGAGCCCGTCCTTTTTCGACGTGGTGATGACTGCGTTTCCTTTACCAGCATAGTCGAGGATCTGCAATAAACAAAACATCTCGAAATTAGTATTGCAATCTGCAGGTTTGTAGCAAAAGAAATTTAAATCCTATGCTTTCTCTTATTGTACAGGGTGTTCCAGCATGAAAGGTAAATAATAGGTGATTGGACATCCGGGGGGCCACCAAATAAGCCCCCCGTTTTCATTTTTTCGATAAGTCAAAAATTATAAGTTTCGACAGTTAAGTAAAAAAACGATGACTTAAAAAAAAAAAATTATTCCCTGTTATTCAGTGCAAAAAGCTCACCTTAAAAGTGGAGTCACGTCATTTTCAGTCCCTTTCGGCCCCTAACTCATAGAATGATAAGAGAAAAATGATTAGAAACAAGAGAGTAAGAAGATAAATGATAAGAGTAAGTGATAAGAGAAGAGTTAGGGGACGAAAGGGACTGAAAATGATGTGACCCCTCTTTTGAGGTGAGCTTTTTGCATTGAATAACAGGCAATTATTTTTTTATTTAACTAAGTAAAAAAGATTTGGATCGCGAGATTAGGTGGAGTTCGGGAACTAAGAAAGATTATTGACTAACACTATCGACGACTATATAATAGTGCAAGTCGACGAACGATAAAGGAAGTCAGCAAGAGGTAATGCGCCTTGGAGTTATGACCGTCTAAAAGACAATGAAAATAGTGCCCTAGGCCGATGCGCTTGTAAATATCCTGGGACATATTGACCTTCAAAAATTATTGTAAAATTAAAAAAATATTTGCAAGAAATACTTGCGCTTGAATAGTGTACGTGCAGCTAGAAGTATTTCAAGGAATGCGGCACGATCCTATAGTGATTAAACGATCGTATGACACTGTTTCAAGGCAATCGAAGTGGAGGGTTTGATTGGGGACTGATGCTTTTAATTTTACGTACCCAAAGAGGATGAAACAAATCGTTCGTAATTACCGTAATTAACCAACAGATGCGCGGTATAGTATTAATAGCTACCATAAGCAAATAAGCTCCACAATCAATTGTCATCCTAGTCCCTAGCATGTCAAAATACTTAATACCTAAGGCCTGAGCTACTTAAAAACGGACCTCCATAGACGATTGTGCGCGAAACGTTCCACTTGAAGTAACCGCGTTGAAACTTATCAAAAGTTTTAATGACAAACAAACATCATTAATCCTTTGTTAGAGTAAAGTAATCAGTACCTACCACATATTAATAACTCGAAGAGTGAAATTGTCAAATGTTCCAAGTGCCAAAGTATACAAATTGAACTTTATAATTTGATTTGTTTTTTATTCATCACCGGAAACAATTTTGTAAATTTTTCAAGTAAAGAATAGTTATTTATATAAAAAAAAACAATCATATTTAAAACTCAAAAATATGTTTAAGTGTTTTCGGTAATGAATAAAATACAAATCAAATTATAAAGTTAAATTTTTATACTTTGGCACTTGGAACGTTTGACAAATTCACTCGTCACTTATTATTAAACAAACAATAGTCATTATATTGAAACAAAAACACATTTTTTTGGAACTAAAATGAATAAATGCCAAATGTAGCTTTTCTTCAGTTGTTATTAATTGTAATGATGTTTTACATAAAATATTTTAGCTTTTTTTTTTACATTTGTCTTGCGTGAACGTAACTATTATTATATCTGAAATATTTATTTTCGAGTAGAATCATTCGAAAAGTTATTTTGGCGAGTCCGTTCGATTTCCGTCACATGTTAACACCATTTGGCAACACAACAAAATAAAATCCCATTTGAGTGAATTATTGTTACCCCAAGAGGGTCATAAAGTTCAAAACTGTTGGAACTTTAAAGTAAACTATCCGCAAAACTACCTATTTCGCTCACACGAATTATTTATTCCCATGACACAAGACCTTCGATAATCTTATTTACAGCCATGAGATATTTTGCATTTATAAAGTACTATTTAATACACTAGACGTCATGCAAATATATACAAAAGTCCTTCTGCATCTGTAATAAAAGTTCTGTTTTACATTCGTGTACTTCAAAACTTATTCACATAATATTATTAGACGTATAATATTATGTTTTAACACAAACGTGCATCGAATATAATTTAAACCGAAGACAGCAACAAAATTGTTTGATTTTCGAAAACCAATTTATATTTAATTCAGAAAAAGCCTATAATTATGTCAAGCATCGAATTATGTTAACTTATCCATACTTTATCAATATAATTAATACTTTCTAAAGGTGTACGGAAAGGTAATATTTCATTAAAAGGGAAAATATTGGCAATGTTTGGCGTAAATTGATCTATGTTAATTTTAAGTATGACGACTAATTAGCCTGTCTATTAATTATTTTATCACATTATTTCTTAACTTACTTTTCTATAAACTATGTCGAACATTTTATTAAAAATGAAGTTTGTAAAAGCCATTTTCTGACATTTGTGTTGAACCGATTTCAAACTAATTTTTTTTTTATAAAAAGCTTACAGTTTTCTTAAATAGTGCTTATAAACTCTCTTTTAACACATGTTTAAAAACCAAAATTAAAAATCTACACCTACAGAAGAGGCGTTCAATTTTATGAAAAATGAAAAAAATGTTGTTTCATAATTATACACAACCTTTAAAAATGCATAAATTTAACTTGCATTTCAAAAAAAGGCATTTATACTAATAAATAAGTGTTAAATTCTAAAATATTAGCATTTATTTAAATGCAAATTTGCTACTGAATGATAAATAAAATAACCGCATTTATGTTCGAAAATCCAAAAATTGAGTTATAATAATCAAACAGATTTTATTTGTTTTAAAATGTTAAATTTAAAATATAGTGAAATTAAATTAATGACCAAACGGGTTAGAATAGCATGCTATCGTTGCAATTAAAGTTGTTTTCACGGGACTTCACATTTTTTTATTTACAGCTTATGTTATTTAATGTGTTGTCTTAAATAAATACAAGGATGTCAAGTTACACAAATTACTGGCTCGGTACACAACCAATATACAATTATTTATCACTTACGGATCTACTATTACTACAGTTGTAGTATGATTTAATTACTACTTTAAGAATAATTGGGTCCATTTTCCGGTGTACAAAAATCATCGATAGCTGTTGACGACTGGCGACCGGCACGGCGGCAAGCTCCATTGTTACCGTTATTTCGCAACGGTGAGACATTTTGTGTGGTTGATTTGGCGACACTGACGATTCGTTTCCGTAACTCATTTCGGCGAACGGCAACCGTACTGCAGTTCTGATCGGTCGGGTACCCTGGCGTTTGTTTTGTTTACTGGTCATGCCGAATCGTGTGTTTTAACGATTTGGAACGTTTGTAGTCTTTATTGGAATATATTAATGTGATTACATACATAATTTGTTTTTCGAATTAATTTCCACAATTAGTTAATTGTGGTGTTTTATTTTTGTGAAATACTTGGACGTTCACCGACGTAAAAATGGTAAGTTTTTAGTTACAAAATTTCTTAACCTAGGTGCAGTCGATAAATTTGATGTCAGACTAAAAATTAATACTAGACCACCTAGATCATACCTATTCATCTTATTTATCGTTTTACTACTATTTATTTAGAAGTACTCATTGTTTCAACAGCTTGTTGTTTACTTTCTATTCAATACATACATAACGGTACCTACATAGGTATATTTTATTGTTTATCTAAAAAAATAAAAACGATTACTAAATCTTTTCCTTTTTGATTAAAATTAATTTTATTTTCTTATCAACTGAAATAATATGTACCGTTTAATTATTGTATATAATCTTCAGTATTATAGTTATGCTTAATATAAGTATAATATTTTAAGTAAAATTAGGTTTCTTAAACTCAAAAATGGTTTTATATACATGGTAAAATATAAAGTTTAATAATTAATATTATGAGTACTTTAATTGGGTGAAAATATAGTGGAAAAACAAACAAGTCTTAAAGTATACAATCCGGATTTGAATCCGGGACCCATTATTAGCTCCGGTATTTGAATGATCTATAGCAAACCAAACATGGTTTAAACGTATAGATTATTTCTCCTTGAGTTTATATTCTTTCAATAATGACACTTACGGCAAACCTAGGTTTCGCTATATACTTAATAATTTTTTAGTTGAGTACTTAATAACTTTTGTATGCAATTTATTTTAGCCGGTCACCAAAAATAACAAAATGATGCAGCACATCAATTATAGAGTGCGTGTCATTTTACAAGATTCTAGAATGTTTATAGGAACTTTTAAAGGTAAAAAGATATTTTTTTAATATTTACATAATATAATAAATAAATTAAATTAAATATTTCTACAGCTTTTGACAAGCATATGAACTTGATTTTGGCGGACTGTGAAGAATTCCGTAGACTGAAAAGTAAAGCCAAGGTTCCTACTATACCTGCCGAACCGAGAGAAGAAAAACGTGTCCTAGGTTTTGTATTATTACGTGGTCAAAATATAGTATCTATAACTATTGAAGGTCCTCCTCCTCCAGAAGAAGGTTTACCTAGAGTACCGTTACCAGGCTCAGTGGGTGGACCGGGATCGAGTCGAGCGGCTGGACGAGGAATGCCATCTGTTATACCTTCTGCAGCTACTCCTGGTAATTTTTCAATTCTTTAGTTTTGTACATGTTTTAAGTTCTACAAGATTTTCTTTTAAAATAATTTCAATTTTTAGTTTTTCTTTCGAAAACATTAGAGTATAATCAACAATTATTTAATAATTTTCTTTTTAATATGGATAGAAATCATAAGATTATTTTGTTATTGACCTCTATATATTTCTTCTTCGTAGGTTTACAAGGACCAGTAAGAGGTGTTGGTGGTCCTTCGCCAGCTGCGATGGCCCCTACAAGAGGTGCTCCCGCTCAACCACCCATAAGAGGCCCGCCAATAATGGCTCCACCACCAGGAATGATGGGTATGTTATTCCATAGTTATTATTTTTATAAAACTAATATTTGGTTAATAGATGTTGTTATTGATAGATAAATTAATCAATTCAATTTCATTTTTCTGAGATAATAAGCAAATAATTTGTTGACATTACGTCATTATATATCCTTGTATGGGTACCCTTAAGACTACTCCACTAATGATATATTAATATGTATAAATATGTTTTTAGCTGGTATGCCTCCTATGCCTGGTATGGGTCGTGGCGGCCCACCACCGATGCCAACCAATAACATGCGTGGGCCTCCACCGATGATAAGAGGCAAGTATTTTTTTTTTTTTATATAACTGTTATTAATAAATTGTTAAACGTTCAAGAGATACTTATTGATTCTTAGTGAAGATGTAAACAAAATCCGATTAATTAAACGTATGTATTTATCTGTTTAGGTCCTCCAGGCGGTCCAAGAGGTTATTAGTGAGTGATGCTACTTTTACCAATTGACCTATGTTTATTAATGAATAAATGGTTTTCATTGCGTAATAATCCAAATCTGTACTCCTACTTTGATGAAAACATTCAAAAATTGTTTTCAAACGATTATAAGTACTTGAGTATATCTATACTGTTTATTTCTTCCTTGCATATTTGTTTTGGTAATACATTTAAAATCTTTTAATTACAATAAATCGGTACAACACTAAATACTTAACAATTAAAAAAACAAAAAATTAACTTTTTTTTGCTTTTACTTATATATAATTTTCATATGCTGAATTTTTTATATAGGTATTTTAATCTTATTATTGCTATAATGTTATTCAATAAGACCTATTAACTGCTGTTCAATGTGATAACATAATAAAATACACCCCTATCCCATTTGACACTTGTAATATACCATAATCTAAATACAACCTGTGTAGTTAAATCCAATCTACATAAATCTCTTGTTAATATTGATTTTCAGTGGATTCATTTTGTAAATAAATACAAATCAACAACATAATATTAAACTATTATTTTATTTTTTATTTTTAGCGTTTATATTTAGAACAACTGTATTTTTTAAATATAATGAAAAATAACAAATAGCAATTTATATTGTAATACAATTTTATTATCACATTTGCTATGCTGGCTACAGCCAATATAATGAGTAATGACTGTTGAGTGTATGAGAATTATTTTTGTGGATAGAAAAGTAATATTTTATTGTCGAAACTAAATCCAAATAACTAATTACTATAATAATCGATAGTATGTTGAATTTGTATTAAATCATATCACATATGCTGTTTGATACAAAACCACAATTTGACATCATGTTTAGTAAATCAATGTAAATGTTTCATAGAACTTACCATACCAAAGTCAAATACTTTTTAAACTATATGGTCCAAGATGAAAAATGTCAATAGTAGTTTAATGTATTTTTAAGATATAAATTATGTAGGCATTAATAAATGTAAGTAGCTGTAAGCAAAAGCATAATGTAAAAATCGTTCTCAACTTAATAGGACTTAAAAAAAAAACTTATTAGCTTTCACCAATGTTAAAATAATGAAATGGAAACAGTATAGTATTTTAGGTGTACATACAGTTTATGATTTAAGTTATAAAGATACACAAAATTGAAATAATTATTCCTTTGAAAATATAAAATATATATATTATGGATTGTTTTTATTTTGGATGCATTGAACCGATTTGTTGTAGAAACCTAGGGGAATTGGCTGAGAACGTTAAAAAATATTTAATTTTAAGAAACGGAACAGAAAATAAAATAATTAAGAAAACTAGGATCTTGATTACAAATTTAAATGCATACTCAAAGGTGCTGTCTATCTGTTTTATAAAATAAAAATTGTAAGTCGATGGTATCATCTGGTCGACTGAAATAATATACTTGGTTATTTGTATTCTCAACAGTGCTCGGCGTAGGTTACTTTATAAGTCGTAAACTCATGTTAAACAAGTTGTTTTAACTACATGTAGTCAAAAGCAAGAGGTTTGTTCACTATATGATAGTTGAGTAATCCTATATACATGGATATTATAAAATTATATGGTCTGTATAGTTTATGAGCTGTAAATAAATAAATACTAATTTATAACTTTGAACGACCTAGTTATTTTCTGAAAACATTAATTTAAACTTAAAGTTGTGTGAAATAATTATTATCGTTATACCTATAAACATCAAGTTTCTATAACCAGCAGTGTGGTCGGCGGAGCACGACGCGTTCATTGCTATTCTAAACTTAAATTATTCCACTAGAGAAAGGAGATAACTTTTCATTAAGATATTTATTATGCAATACGCTGTGTTTTTTTTTTCATTTTTCATCATAGAAACTTGCTCGATATTCGTTGTGTTGAATATTTAGGATGAAATTAAAATTTTATATATATATATATATATGTGTGTGTGTATAGTTGCCTTTACTTTATGTATAAGTATCATAAAAAAATACTTGAAAATTTTTTACTTTCGATCAGGTAAATTTGATAAATATGTGAATCCTGAAAATAAATTTTAGTGAACAGTGAATTTTTATTTGGCCAACGACCGCTGGTTATTTGTTTAGTGTTTACACAATAATAATAGCTATTGCGTTAATGCGTTTATTATGGTGTTTTTCCCCCACAAAAAGCCGGATATGCCCGCGTGTAGTTCCGGTGTAAAAACGGAAAATACATTCCCGTTGAAAATAAACCCTTTTTTATGTATTTTATAACTAATGCGGATTTAAAATTTTTTTAGATTTGTGTCAGATTGGATGAGGATGCAAACTCTCTCACTACGCGTATCATGTTTATAAATAGGACGTCTTGTTTACCAAGTGAATCCTTAATTCTAAAAAAACCCTAATGATGATGGTACTACTACCATAAGGTTTTATTATTACTATTTTTTTTAAGGGATTTTAATAAAATCAAAAATACATATGTTTCGTTTCTGAAATAATCACATTATTAATTTGCAGTTGATAATATGCATTTCGAATAAATAGCACATGTACATAGTATTAGGTATAATTATAAAGGAAAACTCGCTTGCCAGTCGGTTGGTAAATAAATTTCAACTTTTGTCGCCATAAAGTCAAACAGAATCGATAATAAACCATTTTACTGTTTCCTAAAAGGTTATGCTTGACCGGGTCTTGTTCTAAAATATTAAACATAAAAAAGTACAATAAAATACTCAAGTATTAAAAATGTCATCAATTTATAATAAAGGCTATAAATTGTATTCATTCGTTTGAAACGCGTGCCAATTTTTTAGATAACTTGCACAACAAAAGTTAACCTATCCCTTTCGCTCAAAAGAAAACCAAAAAATGATTAACCAGTTCTATAACTCTAGTAACATATAATTAGCATATTATATAACTACCCTAGTATGTATAATATACCTATTTAAATATTAGAAAATTACAAAACGTACAAATCGTTCCCAAAAATGGCACAAAATAATGTTTTGTTAATTTTGGAAAATGTTTAAAAACCCGACTAAACGTGATTCAGATTAAAAAAAAAATGTATGTATTTCGGTTTTTATAATACAATTGTATATAATAATACATTATACAGATATCAGCTCCCCCTTTCTCATTAAAAACGGATATCGGATATTTCATACTATGTGTTATACATTTTTTTAATCATCTATAATTTTGCAGTCGTATGATTAAAATTTTTATTTGTAATTTAAAATTACAAATTACACTTAAAAAAAGTAATTAGTTGCCAATTACTAATAAGTAATAATATTCAAAAATATGTATTTAATTATCATTAACAAATTACTTAACTACCTAATTAAAATACTGCACGCCCCTGATGATAAGTTCAATTAATTTGGGTCTCAAGTCCATTACAAAATTACCTGTTCAAACGTCTTGTACGGATTTAATTGGCCCTTTTTAGCGATGAAATACATACGATGAAGTGCATTACTTAAAAAAAAAATCGTCAACAACAAACCTATAAAAACCATTGACAAAAGTTCCTATTAAGTACACCAAGCGTGAAGCGGATTTTTATAAAACGCACTTCTTTTCTATATGAAAGTATTTACTTAACGCTTCATTTATTTGGGCTTCGGCATTATTGTGCTTTAGAACTTTTTTTAAGGGATTGCAGAGAAAACGGAAAGCTCTAAACGACGTCAAAAAATATAAATTACAATAACGGGTACTTTCTCCGAAGCAAACGCATGACGGGCGGTTTATACGCTATAATAATGTTTTGTATAGTATTTACAAAAGTTATTATGTATTTTATACCTTAGCAAAGTAATTAATTTTTTAATTATTATTAAAACATAAACGATCAGACAAAGGTAGATTTTGCGTTTGATAAGTTTTCCAGGAAATGTAAGGCCTAAGGGCAAAGTAAAATATCGAGGAGGTACGAAATTACAAAATCCATTAATTTGGTGATAAATAAAACATTTTTTAGGAATAAATAGTTGTAAGTCCGTTATTTTTCTTTGGTTTTTTTACTTTTTAGGTTTAGCAATATATATAGTTTCAGTGCGTTGTTAGAAAAGAATCAACTTTGAAATCTGTTTTCTTTTTATTGCTATAAGCGTTGACCGTTGTATTGTGATCAAATGATTAAATACAAATAAAATAAAATACAAAGAACGAAGAGGAAACGATAAATTATCGAGTGGACAAAAGTCTTGGTTTAAAAAGGAAATTCGAAGAAAAAACGGCAAATAAAAGTTGTTTTAAATCTTCAATAAACAATGGTACGATTTTATTGTCTCGGATTATTGTTGTTTTCAAAGCCCTGCAGCAATTGCCAAAAAAACAAAAGTGGTATTTTTTTTACCGATTATTCCAATTTATTATTGAATTATTATGAGTACTGAGATTTTTTCATCTAAGTACCTATATCTTTTGCAAGTTCATTTTTTAACTAGTGTTGTACTGGAAACCAAACGAGTCCTTTACCGGAATCAATATTTGTCTGTATGACTATGTATGATATTATAATATTTATTTATAAGGGTTAAAAGCCCAAAGTATATGTATAATGTATATTCAAAGTTTCCCTTGCGAAATTTACTTTGTTTTTCAATTAATTCTGTTCAACATAATACGATGATACTCATCCTGTATATTTATTAAAAGGTTATTACCTACACGGGTAAACTTCTGCTATATAATGATTTGTATTAAGGTAAACATTTTCATCGCAGTCTCACATTTTGTCGATTTTAATCAAATTAAAATAACGTCGCAAATAACTGTAAAAGTAACACGTGTTAAATTTAACCGTAAAAAATGAATTAAATTTATTCGAAAGATGTTGTGCTATGTTAAACGTGTAAAACATGGTTGTTATATTAGCTGTTTTAAGTGTAGGAGACATATATTAATATTTGTAAATATTGTAACGTTATTAATCGTGCGACAGTAAACGGGCTGTGTTGTACTGCAAAAAAGGACACAATAATGGCCAATGCAAAACGGTCACTATGGAATTATGATTAAAAATTTAATAATAGCCAGTAGCCACTGTGCATAATGTATAATATAATATGATATAATAGCGGCGGTGTCTACACAGTATTTTGTCCCTTCATATAATATAATATAATTGGTAT